TTCCTTCCTCAATTCCGCGCAGATTTAATTAAGGAACTGAGCGGTAATAACGCCCGGTGCACGGTGTAAGGTCGAGTATTTGGAAGACCATCGTCCCGACTCGAGGTTGGAATTTTTAAAAGTTTCATACATAAAAACCCATTAGGCAGGCTCTCGCCCTGCTAGTCCCGTTTTGATAAATTGCTCGGACGTAGAGGTGAGGTCGAATGGGGCAGGTACATAAGAGAGGAAGAAAAATAAGTGATCTGGGGCAAGGACGATGGAGGCCGGATGATGGTGACCTTCCACGACGAACAAAATCATTGTCCCAATCAAGACAGATTTAAATACAGTCATGTGAAGAAATTATTGGACGGTTTTATATGGAAACGTACACTAATTGCAGAAACTCTGAGAACAGAGGCGGACTGTCTTCGATTGCTTAATTGACCTAATTGATTCAGAAAATAAACGGCCAATTGTACTCGCTTATTAAAGGTTGCTATTGAAATTTTAAATTTAAATGCGAGCAAACTGCCCGGAAAATCAACGTCGCAACCATCTGGATGTTAAGCTTCAGCAATTTCCCGACGCGAGATTAATGAAGCCGATCGTGTCCGTATGAAAAAATGCGCTTATCGCGAATTTTCATTTTCCGAGGAAATCCCTGAAAATTCATATTAATCAGGATTTCAGTCCCACTGCTCGATATTAATCATAAAAAGTCGTGGTTTCGGTGAATCAGGATCAAGGAATGTACAGGAGAGAAAATGCTTACACTTTCCATATTCAACGTCATGAATATGATACATAGTTTTAATTAGTCAATCTGCGAGTAATGTTTATGACTTCAATCAATAAAGCCATGTTCCAGAAGGTTTACGTCAAAATATCCAACGTTTAATTAAAGTTCGAATTAATTAATACAGTATGGGGCATAGTTTTAAGGAAATTGGAGTGAAAACTTCTTATCTTATTAAACACTTGAAAATGTTGTTTAGGCGCGACCGACAATCAATGTCTCGAAATTTTCCGTATTTTTGTACAAAATTGGCAAACAAGTTTGTGACCCTCAAAATATAATTGTTTTTTAATTCGTAACTGTTGCTAGCGTAAGTGTACGTTTTGACCTTTTCACAAATATGATAACTGAAAATGCTAATTTACGCTTAAATATTAAAATATTTTGTAAAAATATATTATAACACTAGTTGTATCTGTTTTTTTTAATATTCATTTTTTTAAATTTCCTAGAAATTGTCGGCTTGAATTTTATTGGAATTTTGATTTTGGTGGTTACCACAAAACATAATTGTACGTATACAGGTAAATATCTGGTCTGTAATTATTTCATTTATAAATTTATATGAAGAAAATAAAAGGTAATAGAAGTGTTTCTCTGAAACTACAAGTTATAAAAACATCTATTTTTCCTTTTTAAGATCCTTTCTGTGAGCTTTCTTTTCAAAATTAGTCGATTAATTAAGTTTTGTTTTTATTACTTTTTAATTACATTGATTTAATTATGTGGTATAAGCAAAATCATAAAAAAATAATCGCTTTCTATTTCTTTTCTTTCAAATCACTGCAAATTTTTGTAAGATACTCTATTGTTTATAAAATTTGTTTTTGAATTACGAATAGATAAAATGTCGAAATTTTATTACACATATCTATGTAAAAACTAAACAGAGGTTTAGGGAAGTTTTTACTGCCTGATGAGAGAAGTAAGTCTCAGAGCAAAAGCTTAAAATTTTGAACCACATCGAGATTCAGCGTATTTTTAGCCAAAAATAATCCAGATAACTACCAACCTGGCAGTGCCTGCGCATCATCAAAATTTCTTCCGTAAATAAGTTTATTTTATTCTTTAATCTTCCTGTTTACAAAATCTGTCTTCCTCTAATAAAATTTATTGTTTTTTAATTTATTTTTTATTTGGCTCCCATACTTAAGTGTTTTCTAGAAAATAATAATTTAAATGTTATTCCAAAAATAAAATAATCTCGATCAATTTCAAGATAAGCACTATGACTCCTTTATAACTCCTGCAAGCAAAAACCGATATCATTAAATAATTGACTTGTGTTGAAAGAGTGAATGTGAACGTCATTTAATTTTGTGTTAACAATGATTGACATCGTCGATCACTTTGTATGGTACGTACCGACAACCTAAAAATATTTTTCAACATCAACCACCCATCGAGAAATTCTTTGAATCTAATTTTATCAAATGTATATGCAAATGTTTGAACATAATCAAAGCTCCTTTCATGTCACTACAATATGAATAAATATTTATATTTAGAAATGTTAAATGAAGTTATCTTTTGAAGCTGAGGATTTCTTAACAGTGTGTGTCGTAATGTGTCCATTAGGTATGCTTGCATTTTGTGGTGCAAACGATGGAGTTTGACCATCATGGGTCGTATACAGGTTGCTAATAAATATAAACATTCCAATGCGTCTGCCGGTTCTAAATATAGAATCAAGAAGTAGGCACGGCTTTAAAAATGAATTTTTCGCGATTATGGTAGTCAAAAAATCAAAGTTCGATGCTCTTGAAAATAAATTCTGGTTGTTCTAGTGATTTAACATTAAAAAATAAATATGATTCACATTGACATTGCGTCCCAAGTTCAAATTAGAATTGTTGGTAAATTTTAATTAGGTTTGAAATGATGTTATCATTTTTCGCTCAAATTTGCATAAAGTATCAAAACAGGAAGTTTTATTACTGCTAGCGCCAACTAAATTGAAATTTCGTTTCATATTCATGTGACAAGATAAATTAAATCCCATTCAGCACGTGTCCCACGATAAAACAATCCCGGTATTATGACGAGTCTAGTTTTATCCGAATATGAAATCTCGACACTTGAAAAATAGGTGAATTTTCATAATTACAAAAACAAATATTATTGTTACAAAAGTAAAATTCCACAACCTTTGAATTTATTTGGGTGTTTTGTCTGAAATTCTTTATTAAATGGAGCTTTACAGATGAATGAGTAATTTTTGATACTTTTGTTGAGGTAGTAAAACTACAAATGCCAACGTATGACATTTATTTGTGCATAAATTTATCAAAATACGAAAAATCCTACGAAATATGAAAAAAATTCCGATTTTTGTTGCTATAATAAATTTTTATGAAGTACGAATTCCCATATAAACGAAATATAGGACCGACTTGTTTTGAGCGGAAAGAAATTCTAATTTAAATTTTCCAGTTGTTAATTTACAAATCCTAATATAAAAGTGTATCAATTTCCAGATGTTTTTTGGAAATGATTCCTTTTTTTTGTATTTTGCAATTTGTAAACTATTACAATAAAAATATAGAAACATCATAAAACAATTTATTTATTTAAAGATATTAATGGAGGTCACTAGTTTTACGTAACTTTTACAACAGTACTAAACTTCCGAGCCCACATTGCTTTACGCTACGAAAAATAACTACAAAATCGAGCTTTTGGTCTTTAAAATAGCCGGAAATGTATCTACATTATTGGCCACAAACTTGTTTCATTTAAATAGTTCACATTGAAAATTTTCGGTCATTTCCTGTTCCTTTGTGTGTAGGAAACAGTTTCGGTCAAAAAAACTAAAAATTCTATCCAAACAATTATCGAGCTTTTTTAGTGGCGATAAAACCAAATGGCAAATTTTAGTGCCAATTACTGAAATCAGTATTAGCAGAACTGAACTAACTAATTTATCACTTACGAATTGTGTGCAAAATCGCTAATGAGAGTATCATTTTCTCACTAACAACTATGTATTTTCATGTGCTTCTGGCACTGATAACTAAAATAGAATTTAATGACGTTTTAACTTATTGACATAATAAACCAAACAGAAACTTTTTGTTTTATTGTAATAAACGTTGAACTTATTTGAACGGAGTAAATACAAGTTTTTATCTATTGACAGCAATCTAAATTTCGATCTGTTCCACTAAATTAAAGCAGTGAATCTATTTCGTAGCAGACTCGTTTTTAATGTCAGGATGTATTATTATATTAAAAAAAAGTGTACGTTCGAAACCTCAGAGGAAACATTATTGCATCTTTTCTTCGCCACTTTCAGTGCTTTTAATCAAGTTGAAACTTTTATGTGTGTACTTCCATGAAGAAAAAAGTTGATTAAAAATCTGTTGCATTTAAATAACTGTTATATCTGTGCTATTTAGATTGCTGATGAACGGCTTTTTGCTGAAAACATCAACCCACAAGATTAAATTTTTATCTGAAGTGATACTTAAGGTCTGCTTCAAATGTGGCAAATGCGCCGAAAAATCATTTCAGTAAAAAAATATATCTGATATATCTGTTTTATTGTTAACATATGTACCTAATATTTTAAATATTTAAAATAATCCACAAGATTGTTTTGAGAGAACGTTAATTTTAAGAAAAAATCAAATTTAATATAAAAAACTTTCAAGTTTTAATAAACTTTCAACCATTGTTTTACTTTATTAGTCTTTTGATCTTAATGTTAAGTAATGGTTTTAATGTTTCTGTTTTATTTTAACAAAAAGTGTACGATTTTAACTAGCGTAGTCGCTCAGATAACGGAACATACTCGTAAATGTGTAATACAAAAAGATCTATTACTTTAATTTAAACCACAGTTGTAAAAGTTATAGTATTACGGTTTTCTATTTTAGTAATCCATTGGCTGTTATTTTTCTGTTGCAATTCGTCCAATTAGTGGCTAATAATCGAAATGTCCTCGTGCATCGCAGATAGAGCCATAAATCGTTAAACTTCCGTTCACAGAAAATATTATCGCAACATAAAAATCGCATTTGGGAGTACCTTCAGAATTCAAGTTAGGAAGGGCAGACCGCGCCCTAAAATAAACTCCAGCCGGACGTGCGACTCCGGTCGCGGTTCGTCCTTGAAATGGATCCGATAATTCTGGTAGGAATCCGCCGCAAATGCCCACATAAATTAGTTATTTACGGTGTTTAAAAATACGCGTTGTTTATCCACATCGCGAGTGTTGGGGAGTCGCGTGAAAGTATCGGCTGGAGCTAGCGAAACGATAGCAGCAGTCGGTACCAGCAGGTTAGTGCACCGTGGCGTATCCAAGAGTTTAGTTCGTTGTGTCTTTGATAAAGTGGAGCGCGATTCTGTCGACAGTGCTGCATCCTCTGTGAAGTGAGAGAGAGTTGAACAATCGGTGGCGTTCCGCGCGACCAACCGTGTGAAAGTCTTACTTCTTGCACAAGAGTCCCGGGATGTAAACAGGAGATGATGAACCCGGAAGTTCTGCAGGTGGTCCACGAGAAGGACCCCTGGATCGAGGAGTCTAAATGGGACACGATAGAGGAGGAGGTGACGGAGATCGTAGATAAGAAGAGTAGAAGGAAGTCGTGGCACGCGATCAAATTCGAAAGAAAAAGGCGGAAGGGAGTCGTGGAGCCGGGATCGCCACCCGAAGCGAGGCAGAAGAGGCCTTCCTGGTGGAATATCTTCGGGGGACAACAGTGGCCAAGGTATTGATCCGTTCGGCCCTGGTACACCCACGTTAAGGACGAATTCGACGGAAATTGTTCACTAGCACGCCCAGACATTCATGCCGAGTGAAAAAAGATACTTTCAATTTACCGCGCCCATATTGAACTATTGTTTGTGTTGATTCGGGCTTGATTAATCACTAATCACAATCAGACAAACGAGGCTTCATGAACATGGAGAAAAGAGTGCCAATTCAAGGCAAAAAATATTTTATTAGGAAAAACTTTATTCTCTGTGGAGAAATGAAACCCCACAGAGTAGGTACCAAAGCTCTGAAAAAATGAATTAAAAAATAAAACACAATAGTGTTCAAAATAGATTTTTTGGATTTTGTGTGATATTCTTCAGATGAATTAATGCAAAAATATGAAAAATCGTCTAATTGCAATTTGTTGTTTGATGTGAAACCAGTTTAGTTATAAATCGAAGTCAAAAATTTACTTACTTCCTGCAGATGGATTCTCAAATTGCTTTTCCAGAGATTTTCAATGTTTAAAGAAATTGAATATTTTGGTTACAGTTTATATTTACAGAAAGGAGCATTTTAGAATTGTTTTAATTTTTAATTAAAATTTGTCTAATTTGTTCTTTAATTTCTATATTTAGGTTTATTATTTCGTTTACTGCCTCTTTGAGTTAAAGCAGAGATTAATGTTAGAATGTTTTTCAGTCGCTCCCATATTCAAAAATTTTGTACCCAGTTTTATCATATTTATTTCGTCTTTTATATTTTGAGGTTGAACTATAGAAATTGTCAGAATCTAAAAATACTTTTGTATCTTATTTTCATTTTAAATATACTGGCTACATATAATTACTTCGAAATTAGTGGTCATTATTATTGTTTACATTGTTAAAGTTGGCAAATTTATCAGATTTAGAATTTTTAACAATAAATTTATCTAAAATCACTAATCATGTATACTTTTTGAAATTGGTTTCATTTGGATTTCAAATTTATCTAATTTGTCTGGCTCCATGTTGAAGTTGCATTGTTGATCCGTTCAATTAGCTTATTTTCGATGATTGATACAAAACAACTGTTAATTAATCCATCTTATTTACTGGAAACGCTCATTACAAAACAACTTTATCTTATCAGCATTTCAAAAATCACAACATTGCTAAAATAATTGCAATGTTTACGATGACCGCTTTATCATAGTGGTGGTGATTACCTTATTATTTTTATTTTTTCAGATTGCAAAGATTACTTTCATTTGTTTTATTTTGTCTTGATACCAAATCACTGCAGTTTCATCTCGGCTAAATTTCTATTCGTGGATTTCGTCGACCAATCATTCTGTCAGTTCTTGGGTTAGTGACAAGCAATTTGCCGGCTTTGTGAACATGTGGTTTGCAGGATGTGTTAAGGCCAAGGCACAACAAAACAAACAGATAATAATTATTGATAGATCGACTTGTGTTTAGTGTAATTGGATATGTAAACTGTAAGAAACATTCATTCAAAATGGCGTTATTCGCGATATATAGAGCCTTGTTTTCACTCTCGACGTATTGTTTCAGGTTATCTCGGCCATAAATATGACGAGATTTATGTCTATATTTGGACAACGGTTTTATAAATAGCTACTTTGTTTTTTATTGTTGAAACGTACCGAGTTTGAAAAATGGCCGATGATAAATCTGTTCTTGGGAAAATTTCAATTGCGTTACTAATTACAAAGTTTCCAATCGTTTCAGACGATAAATATTTGAAGCAAACGATTCTACATGATTTTATTGTGTTTCTAGTACAGCCAGCTGCCAAAACTTTTCCCACCTATAAACATAATAAAACCAAAATAAATAAATTGGCTTAATTGAGAATAATTGACTGGAATTGTATAAACATCCGTCCAAAAATTGCAGTTTTAAATAAATTTTACTCTTCATAATTCACAAGATGACTATTTACTTCTGTAAAATTGGAGCTATTTATTTTGTTATTTACGTGCTTGTAACATTACAAAGGGATTTAATTGTCTCGAGCTTTTCACATAAATTCTAAAACGCTTCAAATGTTGAAAAAATACCTAATTAATTTGTACTTGCGTATGTATTAAAATCAGGTGTGACTATAAAATTCAGAATTTCAGAAACTTATAAGACCCTTTATGGTAATATCCGCGAAGCTGCAATTAGTTTTTTGCAAAGAGGTATTCAGGAACTAAATTATTTCTCAAAATTTGACTTTTTTATTAGCGAATTTATGCTTATAATGATAAAAACGTCAATAGGACATTAAACTTTAATTAAATTTTAAATAAGTTAAATCTCCTGTTTTGGTTATCTTTTAATATTTGTTTATGTTTATTATCTTTTCAATATTTTAATTAGTGATAGTGATTGTTGTGAATAACCTAAAGCCGTCGTATTATATAGTTATTGTTATGCAGATAGGTATTCGGATATAAGAAGTAATGATTTCATTGTTTTGTTTAAACAAATAAATACTTATCCCACCACAAAGTTGAAATTCTGACATAAATAATGGAAATCTTTGAAACTGGACAAAAAAAGATAATTATTTATTCAGATCAAGTCTTTTGTTTTGTATGCGAATTTTTGTTCGGATGTACTTGGACTAATCTGGGATGAAATTATTGATTTAGAAAAAAGTTGTCAAGGTTTTGACTAAAAACTAGCACATGCGACATTCTTGGAATAACTTGGAATAACACGTTTGAAAAACAGATCAATTAAAAATTTCGAAATCTTTCATTTAAACTGAATCACTGTGTATACTTTTCATGAAGGTGCGTTTTTTCTATTTGTTTATTGTCAACAAATAAATAAAGAAGTTTAATTGAAAACGTTCGTGCGCAAATTAAAAATATTGGATGAATTAAAGATAACGACTTAACAATTTTAAAAAATTTAAGCGATAGTCAAGGCCGTGATTAAAACGCACATGTTATTTTTGGAACTGAAAACAGAAAAAAAAACAGCTCTGGGTGTATAACCTAAAAACAGAATTTTATTTTACTTAAAACATTAAACATAAGATTTTTCTCTCACTGATTTAACTTCCAAAGATCAAAACGTCACTGTTTGCACCGGATGGGTTTCCAACGCTCTTCATTGGCATAAATTTTCTCATTTTACCACAAAATAAATATTAATTTAGCTCACATGCAACCGCTAGTTTCCATCAATTAATCGAGCACTAAACTAAAACGACCTTGCACCTTAATGCGTTGATTACACCGGAACAGACGTAATTGCGGTTTTTAAATTTATGTAAGTGCGGTACCCCCGAAATGTCCGATGCTTAAGCTTCAAAAAAAGCAAGAAACAAAAGATTTCGGTAAAGTCAGCGTTAATCCGCGACCCGGAACATAACAAAAAGCCTCAGTAATTTATGTCGAATTTTTTGCACAATTAGCTCGTACTCGGAAAACTCCAGGATCAACCAGACGATGATAATTACAACCGTCCGGATCCGAATTGTCAGCTTAATGTTCGGAACATTTCGGGGTGTTTGTAGTGCAGAGCAGCTTTTAGTTTGCATGATTTTTATTTTTGTTTTGCTTGACCAGGTCGCGTAGGGCTTCGCAGGACGGAGGAAGAGTTGCCAAAGAAAATGTGCCATGGATGCGGTATGTATTGTGTTTTTTACATTTCATAGATTTTATTGTAAAGCGTTCGATTCGGATGCGGAAATTGAAAATGTCACGCTTTTGTCAAAATTTCACGAATTTCAGGAGCAAGAGTCGGAGTGTGGACCACGGGATTTCGTCTCCCTTCGACCTCGACGCCCTCAGAGCCAAGGTGGACAGCCAACTGGACAAGAACCTCGACAGAGGTAAGTTCAGTTCTCACCTCTTGTTGTACCTACTTTTATTGCCCTTGTAGCCCTGACAGTTTCATACTTCTTTCTTTGTTTTATTTGACTGTGTTGTACTGATTCTATATTTTATAGAGTGTCGTCTGAACAAGAAACTTATTTTACACAGAAACGTAGAAATTTAGTTTTCATCGTGTAGAAAAATTATTGCCTTTTGTCTATGAGTATTATGTAGATCAAATTATTAGCGTAGATACTTATTTTTCTCACACACGATAAATAATAAATTTTCCCTATTCGGTTTTAGTTAGTTCATCAAACAATAAAATGTTTCAAAATTTTTTTAACATATTTATAAGAATAGTTGAACAAATGTAATTGCACATTCGTGATGCAACGGATTTGCAAACTATCGTTTGCTCGAAGAAATCCTCCAGAGGGTTCTAATTGCGAGTAATTTAACCGTTGGAGGTGAAAGCGTGGTATTATTTTCGTCGAACGCTCTGGTGAACATCGGTACCGTTCTGTTTGTCGCAGGATGTCTAATGAAATCGCGTGGGCTACTTGTTTCGTCCTTGACTTTGTCCTAGGTGTGTACCGATTGCCAAGGAATTTTTTTTAATATTTGAATTTTATTATTTCATTATTATACATTAAAATCAGTTGAACTGCGTTTGTTTTGGTAAAAGAGATGTATTCAAGGTCTGTACTAGGTGGGGCGAGTATCCTATTGCCGGTTTCCATTTTTAAAATGCCATTACTACGCCATTAGAACATTGCTCCTTATGTAAATGTTGTTGTCCTATTCGCCTGTCTCGGATTACAAACAAGACAGATATTTAGCGCTCGGCGTGACGAAAAGAACAACTTTTATTACAAAAGCTTCGTGGGAATATGTCACTTGAGTTTCATTAAAGCGCGAGTTTTCCCAACTTTTTACCCTTGTTCGAAAAAGGTCAAGTAATTAAATAGAGAAGAAAAAAACTTTCCCTTTTCGGCTTGAGAGGGAAGTTGTAAATTTATTACTCGCTAATCCGGTTATTAAATCGACTTTTTCGTAATTTTTGATTTATTACGGACTGCTTACGTAGAGTTTGACATTAAAAGACCAAAAACAACAGCTGGATGTGAGTCAGAAGAAAAGTTGAGCAGAGTCACCCACCGACGATTATTTTTACACGGGTGCCATACTTCAATGAAGAAATTGTAAGAATAATGCTTGAGGGAACAAATTCGTAACCGCAAATTCACATTTTTTTTTCAATACTCGTAAAAAACGTCCGTCTTTTGGAGGTCTTTCATAAGGATGACCTCTGCGATGAGACCATACGAAAATTATCGCGGAATTTCATGATTTATAATTTTTATTTAAAGGTTTTCGACGATTAGAGTGTTTTTTTGTCACCATTTACCCCACATTTGGCGGCCCCTAAAAATTTGCAAAATTATTTGAAGGTTGTTTTTCGAATCGTTCTATCATCGCCCTAGAAAAATAACATTTAGATTAATGAGGACCGGAACGAATTTATAAATAAATCTGGCCGCACTTATTATTTATAAAAAAAATACCGAACCGTGACCTTGTAGTTATAATTTACTGTTATCCTAATTTATCGATAAATGTGCACATTTGTGTGTCATTAGTCTCATTCATTTCAAATATGATTTATTGAGATTACATAATTAACCGACGATTTTTAATTTCAAATGTTGATTAATTTTATGGTAATTATTCATGCTGTTTGGTGAAATAAAATTAAAAAAATGTATATTGCTGGGTAGGCAACTAACAATACATCATAATTTTAATAACGCTTAAAAATGAATTAGGGACAAGTCTTTGGAGGCAAACGCCCGAGTTAAATTACCCAATGGAACTTTCATGTTTAGCTTCATTACGGTGTGTTAAAATTCCGGACCACGTGCGATATAACATTCGCGTAATCGCAAATTTTAAAATTAATTTTTCAACATTGCCCGCGTGCGTTATTTATTTCTTTTACGACAAATACGACCTACATAGGCTGTGTAAAGCGTTTCTTCTTGATTAATAATAACATATTCGTTTATTTTTGAAATATCTTTCGTTGGTTGGAAAATTTAAGAAAAATATTTTTTCGCGTCAAAGAGAGCCCAGTTGCGGGTGTATAATAATGTAAACAGAAATATGTTTGTTTGGTTTTTGCAAAACATTTTTATCGTTGGATTAAAATGTTCTGACGTGGATTTTTCATGTACGACTCAATGTTATCAAACGTATTAGCGTCAATTAAAAAGAATTTATCGTTTTGTACTTTGCGGATTTTTTAAAGAAAAACTCGTCGCATGAAAGTATTCGTCGCGAACCCACATTTTACGGCGTGTTTATAAAATCCAAATATAATATTTAATTGCGGTTGTAAAGTAGCAAAATGATGTTTTGTGATATCAACCGGTTATTTTATGAAATTTTTCAATGAAGCTGAATGTTTACTAGCGAGTAATATACCGGAAATCTTATTGTTTAATTAGCTAATTAAGTTTTAAAAGGGCGACCGTTTCGGTGCTCGTATTTAATAAATTTACTTTCTATTTTGTTACGTTCTCATAATAAATCGCTAATTTAATTGGAACATTTCTGTACGTTTGTAATCGTGACGACCTATACTAATATTCCCATAAATGTCAAATCGTCCATTTAAGTGACTATTAAACTGGTAGAAAGGTGTAATATTTTATTTTGGCATTGATTTAGTTACACAAGGGTGTTTTGAATAAAAATCATTTGACTTTCATTGTACGAATCTGTTTTTTTAAATGATATATTATTATGTAAGCGCGAGTAAATAAACGCCATATACGATACTTCCGCACCGGAAATTAATTCTTGAATTATTGATTTGAAGAAAAGAAATTTCCTCTACGTGGATGATGTAACAACATGTAAACAGCAATTAGACACATACCTCACCGTTAAGAACAATTATTTTTTATTAATTCCTAAAGTAAATATATTCTTACAAAATGAAATGGATAAAAGAATGCTAATATATTATTCATGGTTTTGATGCAACCTGACGTTGACCTTAATAAAATGTGCAAATAACTACAATCAACTTAGGCAAATTAAAGTTTTAGAGTTACTATTAAAGTACTAACGTACTAAGTGAAGATGTGGTGAAGGTATTTACGTAATAAAGGAAGTTATCAACTTCATACATCTCGTCGAGAGTTTAATTTTTTAAATAAATTATTGTTCATCGTAATTGCGACCATTAAAACTGTTGCATAATAGGCTAATTATTTTTCTGTACCAAATTATGTACCAGCTGTAATTGTAACAACTGGCAACTTCCTAATATAGAAGAGTGGATGTGTGTTGCAAGGTTATAACTATTTACTGCTTTTAAAAGGAATTTGCATTAAATCAGATCGCAATCTACGCTCCGATCATAATCATAAATCTTCGTTTATTTACGTACTTTTATTTTTTAAATCCTTTTTTAGCAAAGAAACTGTTTCTGGCACATTTTATCCATGAACAAAACAAATTGCAAGCTTTGTTTGTGATGCAAAATATATTTATATGCTGTTGACAAACTGTGAAGTACTTGCAAAGAATAATTCTACTCGTATTTTTAAATGTATTTGTAGTTGCCAATTTATTGTAACAATGGAAATAATTTTTCTGGCACTATTAGTATAAATAAATGTCGCTGCAACCAATAATGCTCGTCGGCTCCATGCGGTTGCAGGACGTGCAGGAGAAACGCAATCCTGCTGAAAGCGCGACGTATGTGCGTTGAAGCGTCAAGGACAACGTTGTTTTTGTTATCTAGAAAAATGGCGATCCTCAGTCGTCATGTGGCAACCGATCGGTTTCAGACGACGTAACAGTAATGAATTTCGTCGACGATTATTACGATTCGCCCGGAGTTTTTATAAATAAGATCGACGACGAACACGATTACGTTGTCGTCTATTTCGTCGATTGCAAAGGTTATCACACTCGAAACAAACTATTTTAACACAACAAAGTTTCCACGTTTCTATAGCCTTGATCGACTAACCGATTCTTCTATTTCTATTTGCAGATTTAGACGGGTCCAGTAACAGTTTGGCTGAGAGGAAAAAGACTGGACCGCCGGAAAATACCACCACTTATACGGTAAGTATTTTTCCAGTAATGACAACAATAACGAATCGCCAAAGTGATTGGATGGGAAATGAATCATCTGTGCGTATGTTATTGTTATCTATTGACTCAATTTTTTCCGGTTAAGTCCGGGACAGTTTGAGTCTTCTCCGGTTAATGGTAGATGCGCACTATTTGCATTTGTTATTTTTAAACCGTTATCAAAATGTCCACATAGAGGTACAATGAACATCAGTCGCTGATTCCTTTTTTTAATATTTACACGAATGTTTTAAATCGATAAAAATTATGCAAATGTGTTACAAGTATTAGTCAGTGTCAATTTTAAGTAAGATAATGTAAACAAATCTGTTTTAAATTGTTTTTACTTAAGTTTTACGAGATTAATTATCGTACTCATGTTAAATATAGTGGGTCTGAGGTTAAATGCACGACATAAGGTAAACAAAATAAGTACAAATTAATCTCCGGAGGCTTTACCCCACTATACGTTGTATAAATATTGGTATTAGAAACGGTGGTGTAATTAATTTAGCTGAAAAGCTTGTTTTAATTTAAAATAAATGTGATACAAGGGTATTTAGCTGCCCAATTACAATAATTTGTCCAATTTGAAGTTGTAAACTAAACCAAAACATTTTAGGGCTTTTGGTTATTATAAATGGCGTAGAATTATATTTTGGTCAAGATCAAAATTAAATTGAAAATTTTAAAATTGTGATATTTGGGTCATTATTATCAATGAATGAATTATGAATGAATTTTTTTCATTTTATAATAGTAATAATAATAATAAATCTTGACATAAAATCGCGTTTGAATTTTTTCCTCTTAATCTCCAGTTACACGTGACGATGCAGCATCATGAATAACAAATATCTTCACGTTATGCATTTCGAATTTTAAACGTAACCGAGATGCTTGAACTAACAAGTAGGTGAAAATATGTCACGCCAATGCAGAAAATGCGAATTATAGGAAAGTAACTGCACAGAAACTGCACACACACACACTATACATAAGGCGATAAAGCATTTTTATAGCTGTTTTGAGACTAAACCCATATAAACAAGTTTAAAATTATTTTATTGCAAACGTGAGGTGCAAAAAAGGAGAAGAATTTCGACATTTCCGATAGTAGTTAGTGGTGAAACTTTGGCTAATTTCTGAAATATTAAAGTTAGTTACGGGTAATAAGGGTTTTGTGCCTGAGGCACGAATTACACCAAAATTTATGTCAAGAGATGAGTTAATTCAAATAAAGGTAACAATTAGTGGTTGATGTACATTCTTGATACATTTTAGTTGCAAAGCTATCGAAAAATTTGATAGAATAGGTATTGTGAAATCCGTAACTTACTAAATTGGGACTTTTATAGTGGTACAGTTGTTCCTGTTTTTTCTGAATCCACTTCTTTGTCCTTATATACAATGGCGGCGATATTCTATTGTTTATATTACACCTCATTTATGTGATATGGCGTCGTTAATAACTCTCTAACCCTCCATTTACATGTGGCAAAAAGATGTCGAGTTATCTGGCCTAAAATTTAGATATTTCATTGTGTTCAACATCCGCAACACATCTCAAAATTTGCATATAACACGGAATCCAATGTTTCAGGTTGCCGACAGAGACACACTAACGTCAGTGGCGGCACGTTTTGATACAACACCCTCAGAATTGACCAAACTAAATAGATTAGCGACACCTTATATATTCCCTGGCCAACAACTATACGTACCAATAAGAGAAACTGCGGGAAATGAATCGGAAGGATCGACACCTGTAGAAGACTCACATGATGATTTGCCCCCGGAAGAGAAAGGTTTGTTAATATAAAAGTGTCAATGAAAAAAGTACAGATTTTGTTTTTTGTGTAGAACTGCTTGACAACCTGAGGCCGGTCAGCCCCAAGCCAGGTCATGTGGAACGCGTGCGAACACCATCATGCAACCAGAGTTCCACCGACCTGGAAGAGGAGTCTGCGGTATTCCGCGAACGCTTTCTCAAAATCAACGTACGACATATCACTGACGGTCAAGGGGTTGTAAGTGGGGTCCTTCTGGTAACTCCCAATGCTGTCATGTTCGATCCCAATGTCTCCGACCCGCTGGTCATCGAACACGGGCCCGAGGCGTACGGGGTTATCGCCCCGATGGAGTTTGTCGTCAATGCGGCCATCTACAACGACATCGCCCACATGCGAGTCGGTCACAGCGTCGAGACCAGCACGACGGCTGAAAAACCCGAAATCTACTATCCTAAAACAGAAAGTCGAACCGAACAGGACTCGATGATGGTCAAGGACGAAACTTTCCCGGAATTAGGTGAGTTGGATGGATTTAGATGGTGGAGTGGCTCGAGTAGCTGGTTGTCGTAACTCGGTGTGTTTGTAGTTACCGCCGATGATGCTGAATCTGTGTGTTCGTGTACAGAACGTGAGGGCGACGCTTTTCCCAAAGCCTTTGAACGGGAATTGGTCACGCCAACGAATCTCGAGGAAAATGAACACAGGTCGGCAGAGGAAAGGAGGAAAAGTCTCTTGGACCATCACTGGGCTATACCATCGAGAGATCGACAGTCGATAGACACAGACGAAATCCCGGCCATATCATCGTCGATGATTCAAGAGGATCAGATCGACGAAGAGGAGAATTTAGTCAAGGAGAGTTGTCACGATTCAGGGATTGATATCAGGGAAACTAACATCCCGCCCGTAGCTCCACATCCGAAAAAAGTAATAAAAGGCTATTGTACCCATGTTTGGGAGTGTTAACGATGCGATTTTGTTACAGCAATACAGTGATGCTGATATAGTTCTTTCAAAGGAGTGGGTACCTCCAATCACGATCGCACCCACGAATGTTAGCGACACGGAAAGTCCCGCAAGGAAAAAGACCAACTCTGTTTCGTTTAGTTTGGACTCGAGTTCGGAAGTTGAGAGTGGACTCCCTTTATCAACGAGTTGCTCTGAGTCGAGGGAAGAAACCGAAAAGGCTGATACTAGGAAAAATAAGGTGAATTTCTTTGTAAGAAAAACAATCACTAACTTTTTGTTTTTCGCAGATGTTAAAAAGACTGTCATATCCCCTATCATGGATGGAGACCTTAGCCGGCGACAAAGAGGAGGAGAAAGCCCCGAACCACCCTCACTCTGCCGACGTGCATCACTCGTCAGTGTTCTCGAAAGTGTTTTCAAGGTAACTACCCTCATTACTCGTCTCTAATCATTTATCATTAACTCTACTAACAAATAACCATCGCTAACGCTACTCAGTTCGCCCATCAATCTGGTGGACTTCGGCACGGGTCTTTTCCTGAACAAGACGCCGTCTGAGGAGAGCGGAGGCTCTGGCGGGCCCCATTCTGCCGGCAGCGGAGGTCCTCCTCTCAGCGATTCGCCCCGTACCGACAGTTCGAGTTTCTTTCCCACGAATATAATAAGTTCGGTGGGAGCTTCTGTCGGTGCTGTGGGGGCATCGGTGGGAGCTATGGGGGCCTCCGTTGGAGCTACTGTTGGCGCGATGGGTGCGCAAGTCGGGGCATCCGTCGGTGTTGTGGGGGCTACAGTTGGGGCTGTTGGGTATGTGTGATGTTTGCACGGATTTTGTGTACTGACACACAACATACTGACACTGTTTGTTTATTGCTTCTGGAGGTGTGTTGACATAGTAGAGTACATAAAAATTAATTTTGTTAGATACTATCGTAACATCACCTCGAATTATGTAAAATTATTTGTTTCGAGCTAGAAACAGGGGGCATGGTTTTTATTTTAATTTAAACACTACAAAATGTGCACAAAAGAGTGTAAGTGTGAGATTTTACAGTGTTTTGTTTTTTCCAGGCGGTCGTCGGTAGGTACCTTCATAAGGCAACCGACGGAAAGCAGTACAAAGTCGAAGGCGCCGCCACCTAAATTAGATTATAGGTCGATGGTGTCTGTTGATGATATGCCCGAATTGTTTGTATCGTTCGATAGTAAGTATTTGTATGCAAATTTATTGGAAATTGAATTGTAATGAAAAAAAAAAAAATACGCTACATTGACTACACTCCTCAGTAAAATACATCATTGCACTCGCTATTTAAATTCGTTTAATTGGCAGTAATAAAAACAATGGTTGCGCAAACCAGCACCTACGAAATTAATTTAGCTATTTCATGTAATTTTTTATAGACGAATCATTGTGCAATGTCAGTATTCATTAGTGAAATGAGGTAAGTTTAGCAGTAAGGTACCGTTGACTAATAACTACAGTAAAAAACTTGAAATTGAAAGTTGTGAAATTAAAAAAAAATCAGGATATTTGTTATTCTCATTCGAACAGTCGACATATGAAAAACCACGACTTTTGCTTGGATTGCATGATTTTAAAATGGAACAAATAATTTACTCGATGCACAAACTTAAATTCAACTTTCAATACGAATATTCAGGGTCATTTCTTAATAGAATAATTAGCAATTTTAATATCCTACCAACAGCTTCAATGACTTTAGTCTCTTATTATTATACTGAAATAATCTCTATCCATAATTTTATTTTTACAAAGTTATTTTCGCAGTAACTTTGTGGAAAAATTCAACCGCCCTCGCCTAATTGTTTGATTAATTGTTTTGACAATGAACCCAAACTAATTATGCAAACAAATGAATAATTAATTACAAATAATACTAACACGGTGTATAAATATTTAATTTTTTGGAAAACCATTTGTTTAAATACTTTATTACCGAATTTCAATTAGAAAAAAAACAGTAGTTTGTTGAAGGTGTTGAAGTAAACACCACGATGTGAGTACAAAAATAATTAAGTCATTTATCATTAGTGTCGCCTCATACCATTTTATCAACGCCAATCATTTAATTTGATTTATTTTTTCAAATGAACATTATGATGTCATACTTTGATCAAAGCAAACGCTTGTATGCCATTTATTGTCAATCAAGAAAACAATATTTTCATCGAAATTGCAGCTCGGGGATAAACAGTTTCATTTCGCTTTTGTAAGGTCAAGGTATTGACAGTTATAGTTACGCGCTAGTAATTTTATAATTTGATAGTCATTTTTAAACTCATTTTTAGCCGAGATAATTGCAGGAGATATATTTTTTACATAGTTAATAGTTATTTAAATTGGTACATACGCAGAATTTGCGAAAATACGGGGATAACTCTATTGTTAACAGCCGCAATAGTCATTTGTGGTATGCTAATGCCATATCATTATTTTTGCATAGTCAACTTTTTCTTAATATCAAGGTATTGGGTTTGTTCTAGTTTAGTTTTATTTCAACAGCAAATGGGTAACAATCCAATCGAAAACTCGTTCAAAAATACGAAGACCGTGTTTCGTTTTAATTAAAAATGGAATCTAATTGTTACAAAGGTTTATAAATAAATGTGAACTTCAGTATTATACGCCAATTCCGGTATTACATAATTATTTTTTTATTATTTAAATTAATAAACAGGTACCACTCTAAGCACCAGCACGGTTTTGCTACATCCAGTGGAATAATTAGTTATTGTGTTGTTTGTTGTGCATTACTTGTTGACAATGCTGTAAGTTTTTTTGTTTTTTAATAATGAATATACATTAAAATTAAGTTTGGGAAAAAACCTGTAACTTTGCGAGAAGAATAATGGTTTTTCTACGCAAAAATTTCTTGTGACAACCGGTACCTTACTCTTTTACATCATCATGATTTAGTCGTGCTATTATGTAGTAATGTTTTAATTTGATTTTAATTGCTGCAGTGCGCTCTCCCAATTACGGGCTAGATTCCATTGGTAGGTTTGCATGTGTGCTATGCATGAAATTCAGCCACCAACAAAATATACTTGAAACAGCTGAAACTCGTTCAAATGAAAAAAACCGTTATTTACACGATTAAAATTCCGTTTTAGAACTAATCCCGCGACCGGCACGTTCTTGCGAAGATCCACCACTGTATCTGAGACTGCGAATGGGCAAACCGTTGGACAAGCCTATCCCGCGTTCGACGCCGTTGATGTCTTACGGAAAGAAGAAAATGCGACCGGAGTACTGGTTCAGTGTGCCAAGAAATAGGGTTGACGAACTTTATAAGTTCATCCAAGCCTGGGTTCCGCACTTGTATGGCGAATTGAACGAGGAACAGGTAGGTCGAGTGATGATAAATTCGAACATCTCCGAAGGCGATTTGATTTTTTAATTCGATTAATTCGGCCGGCCTTGAGCTCCCACTTTTCTGCCACAGTCGTCTCTAATTGTCAATGCATTCTGATAAGTGGAAGTATCGAATTGAGACGTTTGGTGTGTCGTAGGTGAAAGCGCGGAATTTTGCTCTCGTGGAAATGGACACGGAGTTGTGGAGCGAAGAACCGACACCTTCTGCAAGTCGGCACGGGAGCCAAGACGGGGAACTCACCGAAATTACCAAAGAAAGCTGGGAGGTAGGTTGATTGAATTGGTAATTAATTATTTCATTTTTCTCAATTGGCACCGGTGACTAAATTTCGTTGTTTGGGTGCAGCTAATCAAGGCTCCTTACGTTAAGATCTACAGCATCATCAAGACCCAGACAATGTCGGCTGACGGCAGTGACGAGGTGACTAACACCTGCACTATAACATGCCACACTGTTTCCACGTTGGCGTGCAAGCTACACGTATATTAAATACGTGGAGGTAGACACGCGACTTATTCCTAAATTTGACGTCTTTGACAATTCACACAGTAGTGGCTTCTTAGATGAAATGGATGTTTGGTGTTAGAATAGTAAATAGTCCCTTGCTATTCCGATGTGTATTGGACCGGATCTGTTTCGACGTTAGCGTGGACTAAGTTGCAGGCTCAACTATCACTCGGTTATACCATACTATATTAGTATTTATTTTAATGCGATTATGTTGTCTATTTTAAGTCTTAAATCATTGAGAATTTCCATTTTGAATAACTCTGGTAGTCGTTACAAAAATTAACATTTTTCAAATGGTTGCATAAATGAGTTTTACATACTAACTTTTTTCATGAAAATTCATTATGCAAAACTATGGTAAAGCATGAAAAATACATACGTTTAAACGTGAATCTATTTCACGTTGGCGTGAAATTAGAAACGGCCTACAGATCAATCCGAGTTGTGAAACTTCGCATGAAATAAACAGTTTAAATTCCAACGCGTAACAGTTTTATTAGTTTCCTTTTCAGTAAAACGCATAGCTGAATAAAAATTTTACGATCTTGCTATTTGTGGACTAAAAAACATGATTTCAAAGTAAAAAAATTAACCAAAGGGATGTAGCACAAGCAACACGTGATATAAATAGAAATTGGCCCGTGACCAAAAAATTTAGCACGGCCGAACCGCATTTTAATCTTTTAATCAAGTCATTTCAGTGAGAAACCGAAAACAATGTCAGTGTAATTAAAGAGTAACGTTTGATGTTCTACACGTTGGCTTTTCGTATTGTCGTAATTTGAAATTAATTGGATTTTTGCTCTTAGGTGATACCGATGTCCGAGGAGTACCGTCGGGCGTTATATTCATCGGCAGCGCCCTCTATTGACGCCGAACTAACTCCACCGGACTTGATCGGCACCACCGAGATTTTGACTGATTATCACCGGGAAGCCCTGTGTCGGCATTTGCCAGCGAGGGCCGAGGGGTACTCGTGGACGCTCGTGTTCAGTACTAGCCAACACGGCTTCAGCCTTAATTCCATGTACCGGAAAATGTATAAACTTGAATCACCTGTTTTACTTGTTATTGAAGATACTGACAATAATGTAAGACCCCTCTACCCGCACATCACAAATTGAAATAATTCATACAATTTTTGTAGGTATTTGGTGCTTTAACATCTTGCGCCCTGCAAGTATCCGAGCACTTCTACGGAACCGGTGAATCGTTGTTGTTTAGGTTCAGTCCCGAGTTCCAGGTGTACAATTGGACGGGCGAGAATTTGTATTTCATCAAGGGAAATAACGAGAGTTTGAGTATCGGCGCCGGTGATGGCAAATTCGGCTTGTGGTTGGATGGGGATTTGTACTTGGGGAGGTCCGAGCCTTGCCAGACCTACGGTAATGATCCTCTGACGCCCAAAGTAGATTTCGTGGTGAAAACGCTCGAGTGCTGGGCCTTCGTCTCGAGTTAAACAAATGGAAATTTGGACTGATGTAATCAATCGATTCTAAGTTAGTTAAGGTTGAAACGGCAGAAACGACGAATTTTTTGTTGGCTTTGAGAGGAGGAACGATTCTTTTTCATTATGTAGACGAAGCTTTAGACGTAGTCACCACCACTACCGCACAACTGTTATTAAAGCTTAAAATAGTTATAAACGGCTGCCGTTCACTTGTTGTAATCATTTATAATTTTATTATTATTGTCTGTTACGCTTAATTAGCTTGTTATTTTTTTATGTTATTCTAGTGTTAGGTTTTGGTGGATAACACGTCATTAATAAATAGGCGTGTATATTTTGAATTGTTGTAACATTTAACCTTATTAACCGTGTCAAGTTGCCCATTTGAATCACGTGTTGTCCACAGGTAGTCTCCTAGTCATTTTGTACTTTGATAGCGAGGGGGCAGAGTGAATGGCGGTTCGATTGTTGCGTAGTTATAGTCATTCAGTGTTGCTTTAGCTTACAACGAATGACAAGCTCATAGCGGTGTTCTCCTTGTATTTTTTTTATTTATTAAGGAAGATCTACGCAGCCGGGTACAGATATGATTGTGTTGTAGCAATTGCGAAAGTCACATTGGCTGTAGTTTTCGTCTATATGTCAATTAGGTGCGTAGAGAACACGCCATATCAGTTGTCAATTTAATGATTTAATGTTAGAGGCTGTTATGCGGACTGCAGATTCCTACGTCTTTGTTGAGTGTTGAACTATTACTTGTTTTGTACCAATCTGATAAGAACGTTGGTCATGCCTTGTTGATATGTTCAGCTTCTTAGCATGAGGCGGCGGTCCGTACATATTTAACTAGATTAGTTTGATGTCTAAGTTGTGTACTATAACATTTATCTAGATGATATTTATCTGTAAAAATGCTGTATATAAAATTAATATTAAATAAATAGATTATCAACGGTGATTTTCATTAAATAAAGAATTCAGTGTACCTAACAGAGTACATAAGAAAAATTCTGAATGAAGAAAACGCGCTCTAATAATTATGTCTAATCCCAATAAGCTTTATCAATTTTTGAATTGGGTTATAATTACTTTAAAGGAATTGACATAATGTAGTACGTATCTAGTTTTCGTAAATATGTTAAATAATCAATAAATTTCCATCCAAAAAGTGCAAAGATAACAATAATTACATAAGTGTCAGTGTGCACAGTCTAAATTGTTAATTCTTGGATCAAAACCTACGGTTTTTGCACAAAAATTACTTAGTGCAAAACAATAATCTGTTTAAGTACATTATTAGTTCAAAATATTAATTTAAAGGCCTTTTCTTCCAAGAAATCTTATCACGGCGCGGCGCCACGATTGAAACTGAAACAATTGCCAATATCTCCTCGTTGCCAACCCACAAATCCTAAAAGTCCCACGAGTTGTCAAGTGAAAAGTCGTCATCGAAGTTCGCTGGAGAGGTCAGGGGCAGAAGAGGATTACCATGGCGCTATCAAGGCTTTACAGCAGTCGCGTGACTGGAGGCGCAAAAGCTGCGTTGAATTTCTACCGAAAATCTCTTCATTCTCAAATAGCCCTAATGGTAAGCATTTGAAAACCGCTGTTATGTCATCAATCGAAAATTTACTCTAATCACCATAGTTTACAAAAATATTGTTTTTTTCTTTCGATCTCATCGCTCATTGTCCTAATTTTCAACCATTATGTATTCTGACTGTTCAAATTGTCCCTGCCAGTCGGACTTTCGAATTGAAAAAGACACTTTCGGCGAACTCAAAGTGCCATCTGACAAGTATTATGGGGCCCAAACTCTTAGATCTGTTATGAATTTCCCCATAGGGGGCGAATTTGAACGAATGCCGGTAAGTAACCTCTCAAATGACCTGGAAAAACCTTAAAACCCGGATTTTAGTACCCGGTTATAACCGCGATGGGAGTTTTGAAAAAAGCCGCCGCTACAGTCAACAAAGACTACGGTCTGGACCCCAAACTGGCCGACGCTATCTGCAAAGCCGCCGATGAAGTCATTTCCGGCAAACTCTACTGCGACCACTTCCCCCTAGTCATCTGGCAAACCGGCTCTGGTACTCAAACCAACATGAACACAAATGAAGTCATTAGCAACCGCGCCATTGAAATCCTCGGGGGCAAACTCGGCTCTAAAGAACCGGTCCACCCCAACGATCACGTCAACAAAAGCCAAAGCAGTAACGACACCTTCCCCACAGCCATGCACATCGCCGTTGCCGTTGAAATTCAAAACACGCTCCTTCCAGGCCTCAAAATGCTAACGAATGGTCTCGATAAGAAAGCGCAGGAATTCAAGGATATCATTAAGATTGGGCGCACGCACACCCAGGATGCCGTCCCCTTGACTTTGGGACAAGAGTTCAGCGGTTACGTACAACAAATGAAATTCGGTATCGATAGAATTAACGATACTTTGCCGAGGTTGTACATGCTGGCATTAGGGGGCACCGCTGTGGGGACGGGGCTCAACACAAGGAAAGGATTCGCGGAGAAGTGTGCCGCCGAAATCTCGAAATTGACGGGATTACCGTTTACGTCAGCCCCAAATAAGTTCGAAGCTTTGGCGGCCCATGATTCCCTTGTGGAGGTCTCAGGGGCACTAAATGTAGTCGCTTGCTCGATTATGAAAATTGCCAACGATATTAGGTAAAATTTAGAAATTCAGAATTTAGTTAACAACGGACTTTTTTAATGTTTGTATTGTTGAATGACCAAAATTGATATTTCTGTAGCCACATAAACCCTCTACGATATTCGCTTTAAGTGGCCCAGATTGTCAATTGTTTTTGCTGTATCAGCACAGGTGTAGCAGCGATTCCATACCTGGTTTTACATAATGAGAGATATTTTTAGTAAACAAAATTGATTTAATTACGTAAAACGGATAGTTAAATTATTTAGATGGCCAACGAATGAATTTTTTATTTTTACAATCATTTTCTTAAAATTGATTTTAATTTTATAACAATGTTAACTTTTTTTTAGGTTTCTGGCTTCTGGACCCCGTTGTGGCTTGGGCGAACTCTCTCTCCCTGAAAACGAGCCCGGGAGCTCCATCATGCCTGGCAAAGTCAACCCGACCCAATGCGAAGCCATTACCATGGTGGCAGCACAAGTGATGGGCAACCACGTGGCAGTGACCATCGGTGGCTCCAACGGTCACTTCGAATTGAATGTTTTTAAACCCATGATGGTAGCCAATGTCTTACGATCGATCCGTTTGTTAGGAGATTCCAGCAAAGCTTTCACCACTAACTGTGTAGATGGCATCGTAGCCAACAAAGATAGAATCAGTAAACTCTTACACGAAAGTTTGATGTTAGTCACGGCTCTTAATCCACATATCGGGTACGACAAGGCGGCCCAAATTGCCAAAACGGCACACAAGGAGAATAGTACTTTGAAGGAAACGGCTATCAAATTAGGAATTTTGACTGAGGAGCAGTTTAACCAGTGGGTCAAACCTGAGGAGATGTTGGGACCTAAATAAATGACTCCTGTGCTTTTTGTTTCTTTGTTAATTTTTTCTTTTTGTAAATAAATCAGTATTTTAAATATTAGTGTTATCAATGCTCATTTGGGTTGACCTTTAACTCTCGGAAAGTCAAATTATTTTGATAAGAACCGATTGTTGTGAAATTATAGTGCGGGTAAGAATGTTTAAAAAAGTGCTGTGGCAATTGTCTAAAAATTTTAGTACAAAAATAGGGATTGTGGGGGTTCCTTTTGAGGAAGGTCAAGGCAAAATTGGGGTGGCCAATGGACCGGAAGCGATACGAAAAGCCAATTTAATTGAAAATATAAAATCAATTCGTAAGTAATAAAACTTGGGTGATAAATTTGGTTCCATGGTAGGCCCGAAAAATTACAAAAAATAATGCTTTTTATCTCTTATTGTAAATGCAACACAATTAACTTGAGCAAAAAATAAAACCGTTCACACATAAATTTAAATAAAAAATTGCGCGTAATAGGTCGTTTGAAGAAGTGCCAAGTCATACACATGATATACAATTACAACAAAACACTACAAACTGCAATAAAAACAACGTAATAAGTAGTACAATAGACTCGATTGACAATAAAATAAAAATAAAGTCGTCCAAGGCCATTTCAGACCAAGAAATCGACATCCACGACTATGGAGACGTCTCTTACACTTCCCTTGAGAATGTGGAAGTTCCCAATATGAAAAAATACTCGGACGTGGCCGCTTGCAACTTCCAAGTATCCAGAAGCGTGGAAAAAATCCTAAACGATGGAAGAATCTGCCTAACTCTAGGCGGTGACCACTCAATCGGTAAATTTCATAATTACGAAAAAACCCAAATTACAAGAAACCTTCAAGGTATTGGTACTGTGGATGGCCACATCAAGGCCAAAAACGAAAAAGTTTGCATATTATGGGTCGACGCACACGCTGATTTGAATACAAACAAAACTTCTGTTTCTGGAAACATTCACGGGATGCCTCTTGCCATTCTCGTCAAGGAGTTGGCAGATTATTGGCCATATCTCCCGGGGATGGATTGGCAGAAACCCATCTTGCCGATACGAAATGTGGCATATATTGGGTTGAGATCAGTGGATTCGTACGAGAGGTTGATTATTGAGCAGTTTGGGATCACGGCCTATGGGATGGAGGATGTGGAGAATTACGGGATCCACAATATTGTGAACATGGCGTTGGACAGGATTGATCCGCATAGAATGCTTTCGATACACTTGAGTTTTGATATTGATAGTTTGGACTCGTTGGAGGCGCCGTCGACAGGGACTTCAGGTAAATAATAAAGTAAAAATGACATTGTAAAAAACTCGCAATTCGATTGTGTAATCGTTTAAATGACAAAATTGCAAAATAAAACTCCGAATTAAGCAATAAATTAAATAAAATGTCTAGCTCTAACAAGGAAAATAATACTGAACAACTTTTATTGCAAAAGTGATAACTTAAAAAAACTTGTACACAGAATTACTTTTATTATTAGTTTTATTACTCTTAATATTTATATCGAATGACAAATACAACAGCAAGGTGTTTCAACTAAAACTAATCACTTATCACGCTGGTAGCTCATTTATAAAACTAAAATTTTAATTAATTAGAAATGTTTGTAATTTTTAAAGTGCACAATTTTCAAGTTATTATATGTATATTCAAAATTTTATAGTTACTTTTGAAAAAGACAAAAACTATTTTTATCAAATCCTTTACTTTGCGAAGGGTTGTAATTAATATTACCGACAATTAATAATTTGCATACAGTTTCGCCAAGTCATGTATACAATTTCAAAAAAGACGTAGACTGGAAATTAACGATAACACTAATAAAGAAAAATGCATAAACACATGTTTGCTACTGCGAGCTTACATGATTTCAAAATTATTGGACAGTTATTTCTCATTATGTAAGAAAAGTCGCAGAAACGCTTAGTAAAAACTACTCCTATCATTATCAAATTTCTTGAAACAACTTATTTTTTAGTCCGCGGAGGTCTAACTCTCCGAGAAGGAATCCACCTCGTGGAACAAATTTACAAAACGAGCCGTTTAGGGGCTATGGACTTAGTCGAAGTGAATCCCTCCATTGGATCCCCCAAAGACGTCCAAAAAACAGTTGAGGCTGCGGTCCATCTACTCATGGCGGCGTGTGGGTACACCCGTCGCGGACTAATACCTCGAGGACCCGATGGCTCACCCATTAGAACAATCCCAAGTCCCGTTTAAATAAAGCGATTAAGATAAAATGTGTATTTTTGTTCAGTTTAGGGCGGAAGCCATAAACGTATGTAAATGAGTAACACACGTAACACTTAATAGCAATAATTATGATACCCTTGCAAATGTCACTTGTTTAAGTCTTTTATCTATGCAATGACCATTATTAACGGCCACATTAAACAGCAATTAATTGCAGCTACACGCAAGGTTCTTGCAATAAATCCCTCGCTGAAGATGTTTGCCGATTTGCGTAAAAACAGAGCAAATTTACATAAAACACCGTGAAAGTTGTCTCGATTCTAATCGATTACGACAGAATAATCCTTTAAATGTGACACCGATTCGGTGCACTCGCCCAACTCGTTTCTTCTTCGATGACTTTTAGATAATTAACACATAATTAATAAAATGCACTTTTTGAGATCAAGGACGCCGTGAAAATTTCAATGTTAGATTTTCACAAGGTGATTCAACAAAAATAAAAGCGAGTCGAGCAGAACGGCATTAATTAGACACTTATCAGATTTTAAATTAAAATCATTTTAATTTCTGCGGATTTTGCGAGTTGAGTAACCCGAAAACAATCAATCTGAGCAGAAAAGGTTTACTTGAAGATAATCGCCTTGACACGAAATCGTAAACTTCCCTTTCTCATTATTATCATTCAAAAAACTATCAATAAATATTTAAATTTAGAAAAAAAAAGACAAGGAGCAAAATTTATCATCGTGTCAAGCTTCGTTAACGGTGCGTGCCAACGTACCATGATATTTAATTTAGACATTGTAAAATCCCCCACTTTCAATTAAACTATAATTTGAAAGTAAAATGCACAGAAATAAAGAGTGGGTTGGTTAGTTCCAACTTCGGTTTAAAGAAGAGATCAAGTAGAACAGGTGAGTACCAATTCTATCATTTTGACCATATCAGTTAGTTTTTATTTAATTTATTTTGTAAAAAAAAGTATTTTAACTTTTTTAAATTTAAACGTATTTTTTTTTATTTCGTTAAGAATTTTTTTCTAATGTCGACTACTAAAAAGTACATATTTTATTTTAAGTCACCCCAATCTAAGTAAAAAAAATCATTTTATTTTTTGCTACATTTGTTTTTAGATAAACCAAAAAATCTTAAAACAGCCACCCAGTTATAGTACTTTTTTTTAATTTCGTCAAGTATTTTGATACTTTTTTTTAATGTCGACTTCAAAAAAGTACATATTTTTTTAAACCACCCCAATCTAAGTAAAAAAATCATTTTATTTTTGCTACATTTGGTTTTACATAAACCAAAAAATCTTAAAACAGCCACACTTTGAGACCCAGTTTCCCAGTTTATTTTTTCTCAATTTAAGTTCCGATTTACTAATTTGTTAATCGATTCAATGTAAACTATCAGGTCACCGCTTTGCAAAGAAACTCGACCAAATCAGCCTGTTTCCGGTTTCACAAAAAATTATGCCACCGATTTTTTTTCAAAGTGATTGTAAAATGACCTCCAATACCGTAGGAAAGTGACAAGAGTATGCTAATGATTCATGAAAAAAGTTGCTGGTAGACAAATAAAGGTGACGTCTGTAATTGGAAAGTGCACTTAAGAAAAACAATAAAATTCATGTTTACTAAATAAGCATTATAAATAAGTGCATTTGGTCATAAAGTTGAATTTAATCGTAGTGTCACATAATTCATGAAAAAAATTAGACTGAATAAATTAAAAAAAAATATGGCAACAACTTGGTTTAGTCCGCGGTCCGCGTCAAAACCTCAACCTCCAAATACCTCAATTAACGAAAAATTGTTACACTTAGACATTTCAAAAGAAATCAGTTTCCTATTATTTAAATTTGTTTTTTTGTCACAAGGAACCTTGAGAAAAACTTTTGACTCCACAGTTCGCAATAAACAATAAATAAAATAACCTTATGTTCCACCTCTTCAAAACCTTAATTATGCATATAAATTTTCTTTCAAACATATGTCCTTAAGTTTCTTCATTTTTTTCACATTGACCTTTGCACAAAACCCAAGGGGCCAGATTTTGAAACGTACCTAAAATTACATAATGCTAATAAAGAACAACAAATATTAAATATTTACATAAAATAACGTGTTTTTCCAAAACCGGCGTCATTTATTATGTAAATATCACTATTTTCACTAATTTTTCTTTTCAACTTTTTAACTCTTTTTAGGTTAACTTTTTGTTGGTATGTCAAATGTCAATGTGTCAGTCAAAACTACATTACCAACTGTGATTCACCCGAAAAAATATTTTTAAATACTTAAATTGGGAAAATTAGTTTCTTATTGCACCTTTGATATTTGTACTTTACTTAAACAATTACATGTAATAAATAATTAATTGTAAACCAACAAAAAGAAAACTCGTCTTGCTCAGAGGTTGCTGTTACAGAAACCTGTAATCTGTAACGTTTTCGTTCTGTCAAACAAATTTTCCGTTTGAATTTGAAGTTTACAAACGGTTATTACTGTCACCCAGTCTCGCATGAAATGAACGTTATTTAATCCAAACGAGTGTTATTCGAACTAAAAAACAACAAACTCCGTGAAAATGAACCCAGTGAGCAAATTCACGCCGAAAATTCGTCGAGAGAAAACCACCCTTTCAAACCCGGACATTTCAAAGAAAAAAGACCCAGTGCAAGTTTTTTGCCGGCTTCGCCCCCTCAAAGGCAACGAGGAATCCACTTGCATCAAATTGCTATCACCGACAACTCTTGCACTCACCACTCCTGCTGAATCCAAAGTCGCTCGTAAGGAAATCCACTGCAAATTCAAGCACATTTTTACCGCTTACGCCACCCAAAATGAGGTTTTCGACCATGTGGCTTTTCCCTTGTTGGAGGATTTGCTTAAAGGTAAAAATGCGTTGCTTTTTACGTACGGAGTGACCGGATCCGGGAAAACTCATACTCTAACTGGGGATCACAATAATCCCGGGATTATGCCGAAGTGTATCTACACGATTTTCAATTCGATTTCGTCTTTCCAAGCTCCCAAATGTGTGATTAAGTCGGACAAAATGAACGGGTTTGAGGTGCAATCGCAGGATGATGCTATGCAAGACCAACTGAATTTGCTAAGGGCGTCCTCCAAAAGCACTCCAAGGAACACTGCGAAGAGAAATGGGAAAGATAAAACTTATGTAAATGACGGAATGAAAATAATGGATATTAATGAAAGTAATTTGTACTCGGTTTTCGTGAGTTACATTGAGATTTATAATAATACGGTTTATGATTTGTTGGATGAGAACACCGGAACCCGGATTCAGGGTAAAATACTACGCGAAGACTCGAATAAAAACATGTACGTAAACGGTGTTGTCGAGACTGAAGTCAAGTCGGCAGAAGAGGCTTTCGAGTTGTTCAATATCGGTCAAAAACGCAAAAAAATGGGAAACACAATTCTGAACTCAGTCTCAAGTCGGAGTCACTCAATTTTAAATATTCGCGTCGTCCAGTTACAACAATACTCACATAACACTGAGGGACGCCCCATGATACCCGACAGCAACCTCCTCAAAATCTCCCAATTGAGTCTGGTGGATTTAGCCGGTTCTGAACGGACAAACCGGACGCAAAACACCGGCCAATTACTGAGGGAAGCAAGTCAAATTAATAACTCTTTAATGTCATTGAGGACTTGTTTAGATATTTTGAGGGAAAACCAAACGACTGGAAACAACCGATTGGTGCCGTATCGCGACAGCCGTTTGACTCTACTTTTCAAGAATTATTTCGAAGGCGAGGGCCGAGTGGAAATGATCGTTTGTGTCAACCCCTCAATTGACGATTTTGAGGAGAATTTGCAAGTCATGAAGTTCGCCGAAGCAACGCAAGATGTTAAAGTAGCTCGATCCGAACCGAAATATACCCCTTGTAGGAACAAAATTTCGAAGAAAACTGTGACTCCAATGAAAAGCAAAACGAATTTGTTTACAATTGGACCGAAGATTCCCGAAATCAAATTGAGGAGTTTCATGAATCTTGACGAAAGTCAGGTGGCTTTAGAGCGACTGGCTAACATCTTGAAGACCAGATTTGAGAAAGTCAAAACTTTGGATTCGGATTTAGACCAACAGGAGGCTCGTTTCAGGAAAAGATTACTCGACGTTCACCAAGAAAACATTTTGGGAAAATCTGAATTGAAGAGCACGAAGGCACAACTAAGAAAGGAGAAACAGAGATGTTCCAATGTAGAATCGAAACTGACCGATATGGAAGCACGCATTGGGGACCTCAAGTCAAAAATGAGGGAGTATCAGGACGAGATAGCCTCCCTAAGGAATACCATAGCAGAGAAAAATTTGAAAATTAATAAAAACATCCTCGAAAAGGAGAGATCTAAACAGAAACTGGCTCTCCAGAATGAGAAGATGACTCAAGAACTGGACGCGAAGCTGCGGCGTCAACGCGAGCACCTCCAGGCGGCTGCGAAAGCCAAGGAAAATAAGTTACAAAAAGTACGAGAAATTCTAGATAAGGAGATAACTCCCCCGGAAATCGAGGAGGAGGAGAAACAGCCGCTGCAAGAACATAACGTATTGGAGACTCCTAAGCAGCAAACAAGGAGATATGTGGGGACACCAGCCGTGAGGGGAAGGAGATCTAGATCGGCAGGGCCGGGAGAGGTTGTTTTTTCCCAATTTTTATTTATTATTTTTTTTTAATTGGGTATTTTAGGTTTGGCTTGAACATAATTCGATTAAACCGGTACCACTGGGTACTGTCTTACAACCGTCCATGAAAAAACGCAAATCTGTTACGAAACTGAGTAAAGCCACTGACGTTACTAATCCAAAGCAGAGCAAGTATTGTCTTATCGCGCAAGAGCAAGATGACGATGGGGTCGAGACGAGGGTTTATAAGGGTGATATTTTACCCACTTGTGGGGGTGGGGCACAGGTGATTTTTAACGATGTGGAGAGACTACGTCAAGAATCGCCAATGGCTGACTCGAATTAATTTTATTGTATCTTTATTATTATTATAGGCACTATTTTTTATTTGTTGGTTTACAATTATAATACAGATGTATAAAAAAATGTACTTAATTAAAATAATAAATTAATTTTGCGGGATTACTTAATCGGAGATTTTTTTCTAGAAAAATGAAAACCACTTTGATTGTGTTTTCCGCCATTGTGGCAACCGCCTGGGGCTACTCAGCCGGCGCCCCCGAATCCGTCTGTGATGATATGATTCCTAAGCACCCCGTCTTGCCACAAAAATCCCCTCTCCCTTATACAGTTTCAGTCAGTAAGAAGGAAGCCAAACCGGGGGAAACTATCGACATTACTATTGGAGGTAAACCGTTTAAAGGATTTTTACTACAGGTCAGGAATGGAGAACATGCGGTCGGGTCGTTCCAAATCCCTGACACCGATAAATTAGCTAAAAGTATCAACTGTCATGGCACTAAAGCTGTAAGTAAATAAATAAAAAATAGTTTTGTGATTCTTAGGGTTTTATTTAGAGCGCTGCCACACATAAAAATGCTGTTGAGAAAAATAACCTCGTCTTGAAATGGAAGGCACCAGAAGGATCCGGAAACTACCAAATCTTGTAAGTTTTGCCGAAAGTAAAACAGTATCCAATCCAATACTGATATATTTTTTACAGTGTGACTGTGGCTGAGGATGGAGGAACCTTCTGGGCACATCAACCAAGCCAGAAAATCAAAATCAACTAAATTATAATACATTTTATGTACTTTCTTAGTATTGTGGTCTAGTACAGTATTTAGAATAACAACACAGAGCCTGTGACTGTACCAATAAAACCTATTAGATGAAATTAAAACTTTATTTATAACGCCATGAGCCTACAAGTGTAAACAAAAAATACTCTGACTGAATAGTGAAATAAAGCTTAAGTAAAACATCAACAAAACTTCCACCTGTTACCGCATTCATTACATAAGACAAACGTCGTCATCGGTTCATCAGCTGACCTTGTCTGCACTTGGTTGTACGTACAATTCCTCTTCTTGCACTTACCACACTTGAGAAGATCTGTTTTGGTGCCTTGCACGGTGGCCAACTGCGCATCATTGATGGCCTCTTTTGTGAACCGTTCTCTGAGTTGTTTAATTTCATCGTTTGCCATTTCTTCGGCGGTCATTACCGCCAGTCTGCTTGCCGAGATAGCTCCAATTCGGAAGTTCGTCCGCAAATTGGGATTTTTCACGTCCTTAAGGTTGGCAATACGTGACCTGACGCGATTCTTGTATCGCATATCAGTGTTTTTGAATTCCTGGAATATCGCTTCCTCTAATTCCTCAGCGAGATCCTCGGGCGAGGCACAACCTGAGGACAAATTCAATTTTATTGTGGATGGTAACTTTTGAAATTTCGTGGTGGCCCAAAATACCTTCAAATTCTTCATTGTCGCATCTGATGGCGGCCGCGAGCATTTCTCTACACTTCAGTCTAACGGCGTCTGTAGTGTTTGAACTAGCTGGAGGGAACTGATTTGGTAGTTTCTTTTCTTTATCTCGATCTTTTTCCTCTCGTGTGCTTTTATCTTCTTTATCTTTTTTCGGCTTTGATGTACTTGTACTTGAGGTTTCTTTCGCGTTTGAACCAGAGAGGAATTTTTTCCAATTTTTTATAAGTGTTTTCGAGAGACTGATCACTTCGTCATCTTTACTCGACTTTCTTAATGCATTTACTGTCATTCCAATTCGTGTTTTCGTCAAAACTTCCAGGTTTATATTTAATGTTTGTAATTGTTTTAGTAAGTCGAGAGCCTGTTCTTGACCCTAAAACAATAACAAATTTGAATTTCCCTCCCTTTTGCCGTCATCAAAGTGGCTTGTTCCATGCAAAAATAGAACCGGTCGGTTTGTAAAACGCACCCGGAATTGATTAAATCGTTCTACGTGATGTTAATTTTTTGTGTCTCGCAAATAACGGGGCGTTTTGCAAGTTTGTTTAGAAAATCGGAAAAAACGTACACTTCCATCTTCCGACGTCATTTTATTTAGTTTCTTCTGTATTCGCAAAACTTCCTCTTCTACACTCATTTTGTCGGGATTTTTTATCAACACAAGCCAAATTACGTGAATATTTCGATTTTTACGAGACTCTTAAAACGACGCTTTCCTCCTTCGAGCTTTACGTGGAGTGAAAGAAGAGAGAGGGGGAAATTCAACGGCCACAAACTCAACAAACACATGCGCGTAGACATGCGCTTTGACATATATGTCAAATTTGACAATTCTGTCAAATAGTTGGCACTCAAAATTTTTTTAAAAATATGAGCCGGTGTAGAAAACGAATTAGGTGAAAATGTACAAGGTTTTAAGGAATATCATGAGAATGAAATTAACTTTCTCAAAGAAAATCACATCCGTACGAACATTGTCAATTTTTATCCATTTTTTTAATTATGCAATTTTAGCTCACCCCCAAGTATACTTTAGGCCATAATTTTGTACTCAAACGACACACTTCTAGTTACAAATCAGATAACGTTTATTTAGTAGATGAAGATGCTAGTTCTGGTAGCGAAACAAGCAATAATATCAATAAGTATACACAAAGGACCCACACTTGCGGTGAATTAAGAATTGACAATGTTGGCCAAAGAGTGGTTCTATGTGGTTGGTTAGAGTTTCAAAGAATGAATAAATTTGCCGTCCTTAGAGACAGTTATGGAGCGATTCAACTTTTAGTTCCTGAAGAAGTATAAAAAGTTAACTACTTTTAACAACAATCAATTATTCAATTCTAGGATACTAGTACGCAAAAATTGCTACAAAATCTCCCTTTTGAATCAATAATACAAGTGAAAGGCACTGTCCTGTCAAGACCAGACAACATGAAAAACAAAAAGCAACCAACTGGCGACATTGAAGTATTTATTGAAGGCTTCACAATTTTAAATAGGGCTAAAGACAACCTCCCTTTCAACATCAGAGAATATCAAATAGCCAGAGAGGCACTCCGCATGCAATACCGCTACCTGGACTTAAGATTCCCCCTAATGCAGCGTAATCTACGCGTCCGTTCAGAAATGCTAATGAAAATGCGCGATTTCCTCGTAAATCACAGCGGCTTTGTAGACGTAGAGACCCCAACTTTGTTCAAGGCCACTCCTGGTGTAAGTCAGGTACCCCCTTCGCTCACCCACTAAATAAACTTCCACAGGGAGCGCAAGAGTTCATCGTCCCAACTCGATTCCCCGGTCAGTTTTACTCCCTAGTCCAAAGCCCCCAACAATTCAAACAAATGCTAATGGCGGGGGCTGTCGATAGGTACTTCCAAATTGCACGGTGTTACCGCGACGAAGGGGCACGTCCAGACAGGCAACCTGAATTCACGCAACTCGATATCGAAATGTCTTTTACAAACTTGGATAACATCTTGCAACTTGTTGAGGAATTGTTGGGGTACTCGTGGCCCCCATTTTTAGATTCTTTGCCTAAAAAATTTCCAAGAATTGGGTTTAGGGACGCAATGGAGTTGTACGGGTCGGATCAGCCAGACACCAGGTTTGGGTTTAAGGTATTTGGGATGGGGGTTGTGATTGGGTTTGATTCAAAACGTTGTAGATGGAAAATTGTACCCAGCTTTTGAAATTGAACGAAAAATTGGTCAATTCGGACGATTTTGGGGCGTATTGTATTGTTTTTTCCAAAGAATATGCTAATTTAAGTAAAGGAGTAAAAGAAAATTTAGATAAAATTAGTAAACAGTTCCCCCTTGTTAAGTTTGTTCAAACTAAATTAGCAACACCTAATGATGTGGTGAATAAACTTGGGAAATTGTTGTCTGAAAATGTCGCGGCGAAATTGGTCAATCAGGTGAAGCTGAGCGATGAGTGTGTTTTGTTGTTGGGTTTTGGGAATAAAAAACAAACCGTAAGTATCTATTTACTTCAGCAAAAACGGGAAAATATATTTTAATGCTTTAGCAAACCTTAATGGGAAAAATTCGGCTCGAGTATGTCGATCATTTAGAAAAACTAGGTGTTAGTGTGAGAAAAACAGGCATGCATTTATTATGGGTGGTAGACATGCCGCTATTCGAACCTGGGGAAACCCCGGGAAGTTTGCAATCGGCACATCACCCATTCACAGCGCCCAATTCCGACGATTTGCCCCTATTGGACACAGCGCCTTTACAGGTACATTGTCATTTGTTGAAATAAGACACATCTACGTTTCTTCTGTTACAGGTCCGGTCTCTATCATTTGATTTAGTTTTAAACGGAAACGAAATAGGAGGAGGTTCCGTCCGTATTCACGACCCCAATCTTCAAGAAAAAATATTCCGAATGTTGAACATTGATAAAAATTCCATGCAACATATCATTGATATGTTATCATCAGGGTGTCCGCCCCACGGGGGTATTGCTCTGGGCCTCGATCGTCTAATGTCGAAAATTTTAAATACGCCAAGTATTCGTGATGTTATAGCGTTTCCGAAAACATTTGAAGGTCGAGATCCGTTAAGTGGAGCACCGTCAACTGTTTCCGAGGCAGACTTGAAACTCTACCATGTCAAGAGTGTCAAGTGAACAGTATTTTATATTTTTTACAAATAAAGGGTGCTTAGTTCTAATTATTTCATTACTTTAGGAGTACTACACCAAGAGAAATTTATCTAATTGCATTACCTTACAAAAACGATAATCTTTTTCTAAATGTTAATTTCTTTTTTAAACATGAAATAAAATTCGATTTGATTATTAGTTTTTAATTATTAGAGGTGTAAAAGAACACAACTTTTCAATAATATAAAATAAAATCTATGTGTGCACATCAGTCTGGAAATGTATTATGATTAAAAAAGATCCTAATCTATCACAAAAACAAATACTGATAACTTGAAATGTATTAGACACAGGACCCTTATACAACTGAAACCACTATGATAAAAACACTTTTAATGTTAGTTTCTACAATTATTATCACATTTACCACCAATTCTTTAAAACCGACTTGACAAGCCCTTGAAAAAAATGCAATTTTTGTTATAAAAATAATTTATATAATTTTCTTTATAAACGATACATAAAACCTATAGAGGGAACAAATATTTACAACGTACTTGATTCGCTCCAAAAAGAACACACAGGTACACAAAATTCCAAAATAAAAAATTCGTTTTAGAATCCTACTGTAAAAATTTAAGACTTAATCTAGCATTACATTTTAGCTTTAAAACCAAACTAAAATGCAATGTTTACCGCATTCTGCCTTGGACGGTCTTAAACTTTTTCAGTTTCAAAGTTGAGTAAACGCCCGAAAAGTGACCTTTTACGTATCCTCGATACTTGGAAGCCAAAAAGCCATGTTTGTGCAAGCCGATGCTAGCATCATGTATTTGGGATTAAACTGGACACACTGGACAGGTCCAGGATGGTCAGCGTTTAAAACACAGACCTTGTATCCAGTGTCTGCATTCCAGACATGCACGCGACCGTCAGTTGAACCACTAAATATAAATTGAGAGTCAGGACTGAAAGACGCCTCAATTGGAATTCCCTTATTATTCAAGTGACCAGTAAAGGTCTGCAAGGGGGTCCCATGGAAAGCATCAATCAGTCTGATAATTGACCCATTTGTACTGATGAGGATTGTTTTACCGTCCCGGGAAAACTTCAAGCCGGTCCAATCGCATTCCTTCTCTTGCGTCAACTTGAAGGTAACGAAGGGTCCCTGAAATCAAATTTATACAAACTGGAGATGATTTGTTACGATTTTACCTTATCAAAGGAGCGCAAATCATAAAGTTTGATACTTTCAGAATTGACTCCAGCGGCAAATATGAGCCCTTCGGGGTCGTACGCCGCCACAGGTCTCCCCGACAAGTGCATCAGCCCCTGACAATTTGGGGACCTCAAATCCCACAATCTCAATGTCTTGTCCAGAGATCCCGACAGGAACGTGTCCTCAACCGGTGATAGACACAGCGAGACAACTTTTTTTGTATGCCCGGGAAAATACCGAATGTATTTATTGTCGTGTAAAGACAAGTATCTGATCGTGTCGTCGACTTTAGTTGAGCTATGTATGGCGGTATTTTTAGCATGTGTGAAATGTATCAAATCGACTCCGTATTTTTTGCTGTTCACAGTCCGGACTTGAGTGCCCTTTTCGCAGTCGTAAATAACGATCTGATCGTCTTCGCTGCACGAAATTAAAGTCTCACCGCTCGGCGAAAAGTCAATGCTATTTATTTTGTCGGTGTTTTCCCGGAACACTTTCGCCACGCGGAAACTCCTGACAACCTGATCTACCAGTTTCATCTTCATCTGAGAGGCCGTTTTTGGGTCTTTTCCAAGAGAAAATTGGCGATTTTAGAGGAAACGTAAACGGTTCCCTAACCCAAACAAAGAAAATGGCGGATGATTTGGTGACACAGACATATCCGGTGAAATAACTAACACACTACTAATTCCAACCTTGCCAGTTAATCGACGTCCACACAAAAATACACCCAATTATATAAGGAGAAAATAATTACAATAAAACGTACAATTTTAGCGAAAAACGGAAAAACGTGCCATCAACAGTTGCTGATTTGACTAAAACCACTCATGTTGTCCAACAAGTGAGGAAAAGTCACTAGCCGACATTTGACACTTTTAAATGTCAGCCCGGCATACTTTATTTATTTTTTCAATTCTCAATTATTTCTTATGCGATTGCAATAATTCACACATGTATTAAATAATTTTTAAGCTCTATAGATTTTTTATTTGCGCTCTGTATTCGAAGTCAGAACATTTTCTTTTGTTGAAAGTTCAAAATCACATACTTTTAAATTAGATTTTACTTGGTCATGAAAAAACGAGGCCCTAAATCATCGGCAATTTATAATCATTTCGCAACTTGTGAAAGGTGCCCTAATTTCTAAACGTCAGTCTAACCTCAAAACACAGCCAAGTACATGTGGTGTTGACTCGACTTGTCAATTTTGTGCATTTTTAAAAAATTACACAAGATCGTGCAACAGTGTTGTTGTTTTCATCAACTTTAGTTCAAAGTTCATTCTTGAGAACTGTGTTTTTAACAGTAAGTAGTCCCATATGTTCGTCTTAACAAACTCATAAAAAGTTGCAGAACTACCACATAATGGATACTCCTATGAGCGCTAAAGACGTACGCAATGCGTATATTAATTTTTTCAAGGAGAAAAACCACGAATATGTGCATTCCTCTTCAACGATTCCTTTAGATGATCCAACTCTATTGTTTACCAATGCTGGGATGAATCAATTCAAACCGATTTTTTTGGGCACTGTTGACCCCAACAGCGATTTGGCAAAACTCACACGAGCCGTAAATTCGCAAAAATGTATCCGTGCCGGGGGCAAACATAACGATTTGGATGATGTTGGTAAAGACGTTTACCATCACACTTTTTTCGAAATGATGGGTAATTGGTCGTTTGGGGACTATTTCAAGAAGGAGATATGCGCCTGGGCTTGGGAGTTTCTCACGAAACGACTCCACTTACCTGCAGACCGACTTTACGTCACTTATTTTGGTGGCGACAAAGCTGCGGGTTTGGAGCCTGACAATGAGTGTAAACAGGTAAAAAATCAAATAATTCGGATCTCAAAATTTTATTAAAAAAAATACAGATTTGGTTAAGTTTGGGCGTCCCCGAAAACCACGTACTCCCCGGCAACATGAAGGACAACTTCTGGGAAATGGGCGAAACGGGGCCTTGTGGTCCCTGCTCTGAACTCCATTTCGATCGTATTGGGGGACGCGACGTTCCAGAACTTGTCAATCAAGACGATCCTGACGTTTTAGAAATTTGGAATTTGGTCTTCATCCAATACAACCGTGAATCTGACGGCAGTTTGAAATTTTTGCCCAAAAAACACATCGATTGTGGCTTGGGTTTGGAACGACTAGTGTCAATAATGCAGAATAAAAGGTCAAACTACGACACTGACCTTTTCTTGCCCCTGTTTGACGCTATTCAAAAAGGAACCGGGGCTCCGCCGTACGGGGGCAAAATCGGAGATGCCGATAAAGACGGAATCGATATGGCCTACCGAGTGTTGGCCGATCATGCCCGAACTATTACAATTGCGCTATCGGATGGGGGAAATCCCGATAATACGGGCCGAGGGTAATTTTTCAATGATCTAAGTAAACTTGAGACATAACCAATTGTTCCAGATACGTATTGAGGAGGATTTTGCGTCGGGCTGTGCGATATGCAACAGAAAAATTGAACGCTAAACCTGGATTTTTCTCGACTCTTGTTAATACGGTTGTTGAAATTTTGGGGGACACTTTTCCAGAAGTTTGCAAAGACCCGCAAAGCACTATTGATACGATAAATGAAGAAGAAGAGCAGTTTTTGAAAACATTATCGCGTGGAAGAAACTTGCTTAACAGAACTATTACTAAATTGGGTGACTCTAAAACTCTGCCAGGGGATGTGGCTTGGAGGTTGTATGATACTTACGGATTTCCGGTCGATTTGACTCAGCTGATGGCAGAAGAAAAGGGGCTAAATGTCGATATGGCCGTTTATGAGGAATCGAAAAAACAAGCACAAATTGCCTCACAGGTAGGTTCTCGGGGACTTCCCCTATTAACAATGGCAGCACAATCGCTTCTAAATTATTTTTTATCAAATATAAAAGATAAATGCATCTGGTTAATCATAAAAAAACAATTGCTTGTCTCATTTATCAAGTACCTAGTTGCAATGCCAACGGAAGAAAAGTAAATAATTAATTATGCTTTTTCGATTTATTACAAAAGGGCAAAGGCTCGGGCGTGGAGGACACCATCAACCTCGATGTGCACGCCATCACCGAGCTTCAAAACCTGGGGATTCCCCCGACTGATGACTCCCCCAAATACAACTACGCTGCCAGTAGCGGCGTTAATGAGGAGTATAAGTTCGAATCATGTCAAAGCACCGTGATAGCCCTCCGCTACAACAAGCAATTCGTCGATCAGGTCCACACAGGCCAAGAGTGTGGTATTCTCCTCAACAAAACAAACTTCTACGCCGAACAAGGGGGCCAAATTTACGACACCGGTTACATAGTGAAAATCGGCGACGACAGTGTGGAATTTTCGGTAAAAAATGTCCAAGTACGGGGGGGTTACGTCATCCATATTGGGAGTCTCGAAGGCACGATTAGTAAAGGCGATAAGGTGGCTTTGCACGTCGATTCGTCTCGGAGACGCCTGATTATGAATAATCACACCGGAACTCATGTTCTAAATTACGCCCTAAGGAAGGTTTTGGGGACTGACGCTGACCAGAGGGGGTCTTTGGTGGCCCCAGATCGGTTGAGGTTTGATTTTACAAATAAGGGGGCTATGACTGTCGATCAGGTCAAAAATACCGAATTGAATTCCAAGGAATTGATCTCGAGGAATGATCAAGTGTTTGCAAAGGAATCGAACTTGGCTGTTGCTAAGACGATAAGGGGGCTGCGTGCGGTATTTGAGGAGACGTATCCAGACCCGGTAAGGATAGTTTCAATTGGTATCCCCGTTGAGAAGTTAGAAGCAGACCCGTTTAGCCCCGCTGGTGATAATACGTCAATTGAATTTTGTGGGGGCACCCATTTGAAATATTCGGGCCACATTGGTGACTTCGTAATCGCCAGTGAGGAGGCTATAGCTAAAGGAATTCGGAGAATTGTAGCTCTAACCGGTCCCGAGGCTACCAAAGCATTAAAACGGACCGAATATCTTGAAAATTGTCTTAATGATATAAAATACCTAGTCGACACTGACAAAAATGGGGAGAAATCGAAAGAGTTCGTTAAAAAAATCGTTCAATTAACAGAGGAAGTATCGCACGCTGTCATCCCCTATTGGAAGAAAGAAGAAATAAGAAATTCGCTCAAGACTTTGAAGAAGAATTTAGACGATAAAGAACGCGCGACAAAGGCTGCTATTGCAAGCCAAGTCGTGGATCAAATCAAAGAGTTCGTTAAGGCCAACCCGAATTTGCCTATTTTGGTTAAGGAGTTGAAGGCGTTTTCGAATACCAAAGCCCTTGATACGGCTTTAAAGCAAGTGAGGAGTTTGAGTCCCTCAACGTCGGCTCTGTTTGTCACTGTTGATCCCGATTCAAATAAGATGTTTTGTTTGGCTTCAGTATCGAAAGAAGGGATTGATAAAGGATTAAAAGCTAACGAGTGGGTGCAAGTTATTGCGAGTAAATTGGGAGGAAAAGGTGGGGGAAAAGCCGATTCGGCCCAAGCATCCGGAAGTAATTGTGTTGGTGTTGATGAAATTTTGCAGTTAGCTAAACAGTTCGCAGAGTCAAAGATTTAATTTTTTGCCATGATTTTATCTAGTAAGGGGCACGGTTTAAATTATTTAACTTTTTATTACAATAAATATTTACAAATCCGTTTCGTTTTTGTTTTGATCATATATTATCCTAATTTCTCTAAGAAGTTGCGTAATGTTTGTACCCAATTTTGCACTCACTGGAATTACTTTTAAATCGGTATGTTGCCTTAACAGTTCTAAATTTTCTTCAGATTCTGGTAAATCTATTTTATTGGCTATTACTAGTTGAGGTCTTTCTAATAAATGTTTACTAAATTGAGACATTTCATGTTGCAATGTATGTAAATACTGCCAAGGTTCCTCTAGAGATAAATCAATGATGTATAAGAGGGCAGTGCATCTTTCTGCATGTTTCAAAAATTGGATCCCTAACCCCCGATTTTTGTGCGATTCGGGTATAAGTCCTGGCAAATCTGCTATAGCGATTTGCTCATAATCATCATACTGTACCATCCCGATGTGGGGCTTTAACGTCGTAAATGGATATGGGGCTATCTTGGGCCTGGCTCGCGACACCGCACTTAGTAGAGTACTTTTGCCCGCATTTGGGAACCCAATCTGTAACAGAACAAGTAAAAACATATTTTCGCCCCAACAAACTCATTACCAGTCCCATATGAGCCATACTTTTAATCTCTAAAGTATAATCTAAGTCCTCCCCCTCCGCCCCATATTCGCAAATTTTCGGCGCCTGTTCCGTATCAGTGATAAAAAAATGGTTCCCTTTGCCCCCAGCGCCGCCCCGAGCTGCTACAAACATAATCCCCTCAGAAGCCAAGTCCCCAACTACCACCCCATCTGCATTTTTCACCACAGTCCCTACTGGTACATCCACAATGCAATGTGGGGCATTCTTGCCGTGACAGTCTTTATTTTGTCCTTTCTCCCCATCTTCAGCACGTATAATTGGTGGTACGTTTATCAAATCTTTTGTGGCCGAGTTCGCTTTGAAGATAACGTGCCCCCCGTTGCCCCCATCACCACCATCAGGGCCGGCAAATTCGTTACTCCATAAACTAAGAAAGGAGATACAACCATCGCCCCCGCGGCCTCCAGTAGTCCGCAGCGATTTCAAATCTATAAAATTTTGGACCTGGTGGAGTTATTTTGAAGTGTAAGGGTGACAGGCTTACAGGAGTCTTTGTAGATTTTGGTTTCTTACTCCGCAGGGGTTGGGGCACCTTTTGCGAGTATTTACACACATTGGTCGCGAATTTTACTGTTATTCGCATTCGACTTAAAAACATTGTAGAAACTTAAAAAAATAGTTGGAGTTGGAGTTAAGTTGTCAAGAATGTGAGGTTAGGTTTAAGTTTGACTGGTTTGACGCAACGACGTTGACAATAAATAGCAGTGGCACTCAACACTTTTCGTTTCAGTAGTTCTCAAAGATTATTTGTTTTCAACATTATTTTATTTTATTTTTTTAATAGAGAAAATCTTTTTTTTATATTTTTGTTTATAAATCTAATATAGATTCTTTGCCAGCGTCATTAAATTATTCAGTTTTTACCGATAAACAAAAATTTCTATACAATTTTTTTATACCCTCCCAAAAATATACAGGGCAATTCAGATAAGGTAATGAGCCTAACAATCTGGCGATGCAACCCAAAAAACAAATTACATTGACGTTTTGATCTAATTTTAATTAAGATTTGAATTTGCAATCCAAGGTTTGTCCGCAAAACATGTATTTTAGGTACTTTACCAATTCTCGTTTTTTCATGGACATAGACTACAATTTTTATTTCACATCTAAGTAAAATTATCATAGAATTGCTCATTCTCTGAGATCATCAGTCTAAATTATATTAGAATACAGATTTAACGCAGATGTTGAAATGTTCCTCTTTAAGTATTTGTTATTGTACCCACTGTTTAAATAAATAATTAAGAAAATTGGAATGACCCACTTACCAATTTTGCTTACAACCAAACAAATTTTTTTACCTTTAATTTATTATAAATGTTGGAAAATTGCAGATGACATCGTTATCTGTGAGAAATTTCCACCTGCTAACAATTAATAATTTATTAGTGTTCTTTAGCACTCCCATCAAGGGCAAATAGTGTTTTAAGTTTCCCTAATACCCGATATTTGTCAACAATCCAAAACCACTCTTTAAATTTGTTATAGCCAACATCTGTTTCAAATATTTATATTGGCAGCGTTTTATTTATTTAAGCGTAAAAATCGCAACAATGCACTTGGAAAAATCAATTGAGAAAATTCTTTCTCTCTAAACGCTGAACAATTAGAAGTATTTATTGATCGTCGTGTGATGTGACTGTTAAGTGACTAATTCCACACAAGTTATTACGTGTTATTGCAGCTGTTTGTATTTTTAGTACCGTTTGATGACTTTTCTTTGTGCCACTTGCTTTGATTAAAAGAAAAGGTTGAGAGGCCTACCGAAGGGCCATGCCCTTACTAGTTTATTAAAATAGCAACCCCGCCACTTAAATTTAAATTGGAATAATAATACCCCTGACAGAACAGGGCTTAAATAATTCACAGACGCAGGGACGTCGATATGTCTGGAAACAACCACGTCGTCTGAAAAGTTAGATTAATATGTTGGGATCTTATCGGAAGAGAAACTTCCGGTTTGCGGAAGAGGCGCGAGTTGAATTTCGACTCATTTAAGTATCGCTTATTTTTCGTAGACAACAGTTGTTGGGTTTTAAACTATTTATTGACACATTTCACCGACGTGAGGGCGAAATATACAGAGGCCAATAGCAATAATAATAAATTATTTTACTTTGATTGTGGCACTGCAGACAGGTTTATGGACTGTTAAATAAATGTAACAAAGTTGTAGGTAATTTTACAATTTATAGTGATATTTAAATTAAAATTTAACTTTTTTGATGCTAATATACGAGTAGTAACAAATATTTATTTTTCGTCAAAAATATGATGATTGATTTGAACAAACAAAATAATTTAAATAAAGTTTTAAAAATAAAATAATAAAATAGTAGATTACATGGAAGATGGGAAAATGTTATTATTCCCTGAGGGCTCAAATATCCGATCGAAAGGCTTATTATGATTGTGAATAGAAATAATTGTTTTAGAATATTTAGAAATTGTTGTTATTGTCATGGGACTGAATAAATCCGACTCACTAAAATGTCAACTATTTTTATTAAACTTGTGAGTAATAATGGCTTCACATTAATCATCAGTGTAGATATCTCATGAATCATCTGTTCGCGATCATTATTTACCCATAACATAAAAAATACATGAGTATTGAATAATCGATTAATAAATTACTGAAAATTTAATAGTGAATTTCTTACAAATCGACTGCTGGAAAAATGTTATTACGAGAATGACACGATCTGATGATAATTAACTTCAATTAATATTAGGTTAAATGTTTTCCCGAATTTAAATTTTGATTAGCGAATTCTGATTACTGGATCGCTGAATTTTCTGATTGGCTGGTGCCCACTTACTGTAAAGAACATACAGAAAAAGCAGTTTTCATCAAAATGTTTGCATAAAAGCAAACGCTAGGAATTTTTTGTTCTTGTTTGACAAGAAAATTAATAGATTTTTTTATTTTTATTTAAATATAGGTGTGTACTAAATATTAATTATTAATTATTATTACTTTGTAATTACTAGTTTAGTTAGATTAGGGGCGCAGTATTTAGGTCTGCACAAGGGCGACATTTGGCTCGGTCCAGATTGCAGTACCTACTCAAAAACAAAAAAAACAAAATATTTTTTTCAGAAACAATTTCAATTATTAACCTATGAAGTTGCAAATCGATCGATTTGATCGAAACTTCTGTTTCACAAAAAGGGAAAAGAGTTTGAATCGCCAGACGTGCATCACAATAATGCACCCTGTGCATAGTTTCTCATTCGACAATTCGATCCTGTGGCTTGCTAATATCAAATTCATCATGAAGAGAAAACGATATGACGTGGGACAAAAGTTGAAAAAGAACATAAAAGTTTGAATTAAACATATTTATCATTAAAAATTAATTTTAAGAAATGGTAGCAGTGTTTGAATATGTGTGGAAGACAAGAAGAGTAAATTAGTATTTGGAGATGCAACAAAGAAGTAAAAATGCCGAGTGCAAATTTAGCACACAAAAATCAGATGTTCCTTCTCGCCCACTCATTAAAAATTCTTGTTGCCTTCCGTGAATCGTTTTTGGAAGACACCTCGGCGCCTCGGGTCCGGTGGGAGCAGCACGCCACCGCGTCCTGGTGACGCATGGCCCGATTCCGACCTAGTGCACCGCCCTCGAGCGGCACGACACCGCTTCAGTCGCGATCGAGCGTCGCGTGCGTGTAGTGTCGCCGGTGCCTAGCGACGCTCACTATGCCAGTGAACCAGTCTGTGATTGCGGGTTGTGATACTTCCAAGGGCTCGTAGCCACCAGCATGGCGTTACCGCTAAGTTGTTCGAAGCGCGTCAAGGAGGTGCTGGTCGAACAGCACCTGGACATCATGGCCACGAAGATTCTGGCCCCTGTGAAGACCGAGCGTCAAATCTTGGAGAACTCGATGCTGGAGGACGACCCCAACGCCAACTGCGCCATCACTCAGGAGGAGAAGACGCGCCCCAGGTGGGGGCCGCAGCACAAGGGCGCACAGGAGCTAGCCAATCTCTACAGCAAGGGTACGCAACGTGCGAATCAATGAAATTCCACGGTGATGACATAAGGTTTGGCGACAACGCGGCCCCCGACTATATTTAACGCGGCCAGGACGTCTCAATGGAGAGCAAAAGACAGTGGCGTACACGTGGGGGGTTAAAATTAATGAGGAAATGTAACCTGTTTTATTCATTTTTGGTGGCTTATTTGTCTCGTGTTTTTGACATTTAAAACAGAATAGTAGGCTCTTCATATGGACTGACATTTTTCAATAATTGAAATGACATGAAAGATAAAATCGGTGCCTATAGTGATGGACAGTGAATTTCGTCCACCCAATTTCTGTGAATTCACAAAAATTCACTGTAGTCTGTGCTTTATTGTCATGATAACTGACATTCAAATACGTGTTGTCAAATTTAATCAAATTCGAACATGCCAGCAGTAAGTGCGTTTAATAAAATAAAAATTATCTCTGGTACAAAAGGGTATGTCTCAAAGACGGGTCTCTATACTTTTGGGCATACCAAGGACTACCATTTTAAAGGACAAAGGTAAAAAGTAGCAAGAAGCATCAAGCATTCTGTCAACATAACAAACATTAATCAAAATTCTGAAACAAGGTTAGGAAAATCTAAAGACTAATTTACACTTTTAATCTGTCATGGAAATTGGGTGGACGAAATTCACTGTCCATCACTGTACCTTTTAAAATTTGTTTTTTTTTTTAATGGAAATTACCAAGTCAAAATTTTGATGAAAAAATTGGTAGCAGCTTGTCTCCATAGCCACAAATTTTGTTTGCTCTTTGTTTTTGTCCCCAGAAATTTTGTTAAAAAATTATGGTTATGTTTTCAAATTCAGATGTTTTTATGAATCTTGTGTGCCTGTTTGCTCTTTGAAAGCACTATAATTGAACACCTGAGGATAGACATCATTATCTAAGGTCTAAAGACAGAATTCAGTGCTAATAATAATTTTTTTTTAGCAAAAGATACAAGTAGGTATTATGATGATTGGCAATAAATTTTGTGTAATTTATTGAAATGAGCTCAATGTTGATGCATTTTTTAAATGCTTCTTCACTTTAGTTTCAAAATTGTTACTTTTTCAACTTGTTCCTCAAAAACGATGCACAATACACTAATTTAATTGCGTTCTTTCCGAGGTTCTTTCTCATTCATGTTTATTTTGTATTCTTGTCAATTTTTACTAAAAATTGAGAATGTTTAGCAAACTGCATTACAAATTGCGTCTACATTTTAACGGGTCCTTGTTCTAACTTCCTGCTTACGAACTATTCGTTTCCAAATTTCGAAAAACTGTTAGTGTACCGAATTTGTTTTTTTTTTTTTTTGGTGTTTCGTCTCTAAATTTTCTTAGACGATTTTTTGTGTTGACGTTTAATGACATTGTTTTCAAATTAATTCAAAAAACCAGAACTATTAACCTCTTTTATTAAAATTACCAGGAAAGACTGTTTGGCATTTCCATTAAAAAAAAAACAGACTAATTTTTATTATAGGTGCTAAAAATGTGTGGACAGAAAACCTGATAAAAAATTTCAATGAAATACTTATTTTAATAAGTGAATAATCCTTTTTGAGATGAGTTTTTTAACAGAAATAAAATAAATTCTAAGGTGAATCGTTTACCTAAAACACGTTTTATTTACAGCTACATTCAAAAAAAAAACTTGAAATGAAATTTTTCGAAATGTAAATTCGGTTCTAGGAGAAGAACAGTGAGTCATCACGATCTGACCGTAAGCTTGGAACCAGTGGCGTAGTGGTTCTGTTCGTGCAACGGGAGAAATTTGAGAAAATTATTTTATATTTATTTATAACAATTAATTTTCATATATTTTTTTTAATTTATACAGGGTGTTTCACACAACTTTACGAGGCTTGCGCCTAATGTCCGCCACCCAAATTTGCAAAATTCACAAAACACTACACACATTTAATTATTTAATTTTTGGAAACCCATGACAGTAGTTGTCAAACTAATCACTGTTTCATTAAAATAGTCATAAACTGAAGTTTTTCAGAAACAATTATCATTTGTTCTATCAAGTGACGGCATGAATATGATTCTAGTTTATCTATCTTAATCTCTAACTAACTAAAAATGTTGTAATTTTTGTAAGGGTGAACAAACTAGAGGAGATTATCCAATTTTTCAAAATTTGTAATCGAACAACTAATGTTGTTCAGTTTGTTACTAAATTCGAAAATATTTAATTTATTAATTTAATTTATTCATTCATAACCTATTTATTTTTTAACTGACATGCCATCAATAGTTATTTATTATAGACGATAAAATTGAATTTTATGCACTTCTCTCGATTTAAGCACTCTTTTGTATATTTAGAAATGTGAAAAAAATATTTCCATTTATTATGTGTTCTTATGTGAGACTAAAGAAATCGTCGACTATTATTCTTTCTAAATGTTAAAATTTATCTTTGAACAAAACTCTCATTTTAGACTTTTGGAAAAGGTAATACAGCATTCAATTTTACGCGAAATGGAAATTTTTGCTCGTTGGTTGTATTAAATGTTGCAAAAAATTGTAACAGTATCAAATATGTTCGATTTTCTCCAAAATATTTTCTGTAACTTTTGCTTAAATGTTAAGTAAGTGAGTAATTATTTTCTTGAATGTTTCAACTCCTCATCGTAGCTACAAACTAAACAAAAATAGTTGATTATTTTTTCGTAACATTTTTGACCATTTATTTTTTTGTTGCCCGCCACTGCGAAAAGCGCACCTGAATTCAAATGCGCCTAATCCCATCAGGTTTAACGACCTTTCCTTATTGCACTTGGTCTAATCCACCAAGAATCGTCGCTTTTGTTGATCCACCAGTCACACCACACCTACGTCCAGTCGTTGCCTCTTATCTGATTGTGCTTTCGTCTGATTGATCTTCAACCTTTTCGCTGACCTGACCCACATTTTACTCAAATACAAACACGAGAACACTATTGTGTCTCGAACAATAATTAAGCGTAAAGCTCGAGGTATTCTATATTTAGTTTAGTCGACTTTTTATAGATTTCGAAGAGGCGGCACTCATAACGTATTCAAATATCATCACAGAAAAATAACAGCTTAAAAATTATATTAAGTGACGTCTAATTTTTCTGCATCGCACTGGAAATAATTGTTAAGGGGAAATGCCAAAACTGACACGAAGCAGTTCAAGAAAAGCTAAATATTAATCACATGTCATGCTCACGTCATATAAGTCAATATTTACTGATTTAATGTTATCAGTTTGTAACGGGTTTTTAGAACTACTTTCAAATTTAGCATCACCTTGATTCTGTAATGTTACCTAAGCCGGGTATTGTTAGAGTTATCTCATCTGTTTGTTATTGATGCTGTAATTATTAAATATTGATTTTTCCATACTACACAAGCATTAAACTTTACCTACTATCCCGAAATCACAAGATTGTGTCCAAATTTCGCGGGCAAAAACATGTTTTTCGTTTCACTGGCGTCATTTTATTTTTAAGCGGTGTGCAAAAGAGCGTCTATTATGCTTTTTGGTGAAAGTGGTTCCGCTTCAATACTAAGTTAACCAATCTATTGATTTGTAAAAGTTGAGTGTAACAATAAAAAATAAAAAATACCGTAACACTTTTTTTATTTTAAGATATTTTATCTGTACAAATTTTTAATTCATTATTGCTAATGTACGAGCTTAACTTGTAAATAATAATTAAATAAGATTAATTTTTGCAAATACGCTCATAGAATTTATCTTTATTGCTATTATATATTTTTATCAGGTATGTCCTATAAATAAATTTACCTATAATATATACTTAAATCACAGCCAATTATTGTAAAAATGTAAGGCAAAGTAAATACCATATTTAAAAACAGGTTAAGGCTACGAGACACGTTGTCAATAATCGTAATTTGGGGTGAATGTATAGTTAGGCATTTTGACTATTTATTTTTTGCACAATTATGTATTTACAATAGTAGGGGACCCGCGTTATTTAATGTGAGAAAAATTTGTTTATTTGCATGTTTGTCTACGTTTATTTTTCGTATGTCTTTTGTTTCGAACGAAATAGAATTCGGTGTAATTAAGGTATAATTACGCGTTTTAGATATGGATGGTATTTCGCTTGGCATTTTGCTCATTTTAATTAAAAAGTAATTCCAATTGTCTCATGTTCCAATCTATTAATGCTTAATGGAGGAATGTTATTGCACATCTGTGCGTTGTGAGACGCACAACATTAGAAATAAACTAATGATGACAGAGAATAGCATACAGTGCCTCCCACAGTATCGATTTGTCAAAAAAATACTGGAAAAATTACAGATTTTATCACAAAACTTAAAGTTTCAACAGAATTTTTAAGTATGATCATTGACAAGTGTGACCTACTTTAAACCCAGGGCACCCACAGTGACTCAAAATTAAACTTTTGCTTCAAGAACTCGCGCCCCTGAGAAAAATTTGACATTTAATTTTTGACATTTGACATTTTTTTATGTCTATTTAATGATACTGATGATCTTGTAATTGTTTTTTGTAATTATTTAGCAAAGGTACAAACATTTTGCCAGTAAAAGCCACAAATAACATTGAACAGAGTTACAATTTAGGATACAGCTTCCTTACTTCCTCTTCTAATAGCCTGTAGCAAAAAACACTTGGAAAATTATTTTTTCAATAGAAATAAATAGAGTCAAAGTGCAAAATTTAAACGCTCATAACTTCGAAATTTTTATAGATAGAATTTTTTTAACATTTTTTCCATGTTCCTGGTATCTTACCTTATATATACATTTTTCTCTGGAGCCCGAATTCTGGCGCACCCTGTATTAAAGTAGTTACACTGATGTGATGTTTATTTATTTAGAGCACGTGAAATTACGCAAAAACGAACTAAGTATTTCAGGAATTGTGAAGTGACATTTTATTCACTAACAACTGGCACATGTTAGCATTCTTTTAATACTATAATACTTATTGCAGATCATCAAAAAATTTTACAGTTGAGAAACATTGACGTTTTCTTATACAACAGCCCACATTAAAATTATAAGATTCCATAGTTTGTACTAAAACGTTATTACTGTCAATAAAATGATTTATTCTGCTATTTAAAAATGTAAACGATAGGTGAAATTGGTGATTTTCTTGTATAAACGAGGCTATTTTTGATGTTCTTCCTGGTTGTATTATTATCCATCATAATATCTAGTTTTATATCGTTTGTATTAAATTTCTAATAAAATTCTATAGTAAATACAAACAGTTTCTATTATAATTATGTGATTGTCTATCTGTAGAATTGCCTAATATACGCCAATCATTACAATTTGATAAATTATCTTAATGGCAAATAATTATTCAAACTGGGGTTCACTTAATTTAATAAGAACTCGAATCATTTGGAATCGTTTTCTTAAATGAAATTAGGACTAAATACAATTTAAGTATTGTTATTCAAATAAAAAAAACATGTGGTGATTTTGAAACAGGTTTTTCGAATTTTATATTGGTACAATAAAACTTTACTACGAAGGTTTGCAAAATAAAGGCGTGTCGTTAATACATCATTAGTGGGTGATTAATCTGCTAGATAATTTCAGTCGGCTATAATCGCTATGAAAAATGCCAAGAGTGTAAAAATAATAGCATTTTTAAGTAATTAACTTTAGGTTTTTTTTCATAAATAGCTAACATCTGTACTAAATTAATTTTAAAAGTGCACAAAAATTTGTCACTGATGAGATGATTTATGCACAAAAAGTGCCCTGTACGTAGTGCCACTGGTACTCCAACTGGAACGTTTGGTTCTTGTCGGGTTTGATGGGTTCATTTTGAACCTTGTCGTTGACGAAATGGTACCCGAGCGGTCTACGTGGTACAAAACCACTATTAAAGATTGTAATTAAAATATGTATAAATGTTGTAAAACTATAAAAATACCAAAATTCTGTAAAAAATTAAAAATGTATTTTTTACATGAAAGTTGTTAAAATAAATAATAAAATTTTAACTAATTTTGCAACAGACTGCTACAAAATTGTATTTTTTGCTAACTTATTTAAACTCGTTTATATCCAGCTAATCTTTAATTAAATAAGATTAGTAAAAAAAGAAGTTTTGCTGAAGTTGCAGTTGTAAGTATTAAATGGTTTCAGCCTTATTATGGAAAATGGAAAATAAAATGTTATCATAATCATAGGCTATTTACTGAAACTATGTATTTTTATTCGTAATTTTCTTTTATCTAATTTTATTATTTTGCACTAAATGTTAAAGAGTGCTTTTATCGACTAATTTCAGTAGATAAAGTTGTCTTTTATCGTCTAATGAAATAAAGTAATTTTTATCTACTGTTTATATTCAAGAAATTCTGGTAGGTGAGTACAAAATAAAACGAAATACACCACGATAAAGATTGTTTGTCTACTCGTGAAAAAAGTCCACTCGTGACTTCGTCACTCGTAAACTTAACCTTTTCACTCGTAGATAAACAATTTCTTTATCGTCTTGTATAATAAATAAATAAATAATTAGTCATGTTTTCTGTAAAAACTAAGTTTTCTTCAAATAAATGGAATAATGTAATAATGTAAAAGTCAAGTCACTGATATTATCACTAATGTTTATGTGCTTTGTACTAACTTAGCTTGTGGTTATAAATATATACTTTAAATTACAATGCAATAAAAAAATTGCAACCAACAACACAAAAGAATTATGTTTACACTAGTAGACAAATATATTATGCAAGCAAACATCAATATGTTTTTTTACCTATAACTAAATTTACATAAAAATTGCAAAAATATTATTCATTCTTTAATTGTATTTAAATACTTTAGATTTAAGGTCAGAATTAGCACAAGTATAATGTAAATTTTTAGCAAAATTAATAATCATTACTTCAGTGACAGTAAAACAGCGCCAGGGTACAAAAAAGGAAATCACTTCTCGATGACATAATAGCTTGCGAAAATGAATCATATTGTAGTTTTACGCTTTAGTAGTGGTTTAACATCCTTGTGATAGGAGAAAAATGTTAAAAATTCTAGTATTATAGTTTAATTCGTCTTTCATTGCCATGTTTGTCTAATCGACAGTTTATTTTATTTGATACCTATTTAGAAAAGATCGATCTTGTCGTCGATATTACTTAGCACATGTTCGTTTATTATGCGTTGATGACATTTCAAATTATTCTGATGACCCATTAAACTCGATTATTTTTATTCTTTATTCCTAGTTTACATTACCAGCGATGTTCCCTTGTAATTTACTAAGCAAATGATAAGTCAAATTGTAATTATATGAGTCCTTGATGGTGGCGGAATCGAAACCCCCTTTCGTGATGGCATAATTAGACAAATATTTTTATTTACAATGCCTCAGAAGGATAAATCGCGCTTGTTCCTTTTTTCACAATTAATTAATTAGACACTCAACACTCCCTTTTTCCAGGAAAGCGGACCCAAGAATGCATTTGTGTGGGCATTTGCATTACCCTGATGGTGGTCAACTTCTTCTTCATAATATTCCATGTCCGAATGGACAATTTGAGTACGATTATGGTGGCGGCGTTTTGCGGCATTGTGACGGCGGATTTTGGCTCGGGGCTAGTGCACTGGGCGGCAGATACGTGGGGGTCGGTGGAACTTCCCGTCTTGGGCAAAGTGAGTGTAAAGTGTGGGGTAACTCGGTTTTATTTGTTTCGTTGCAGAATTTTTTGCGGCCGTTTCGCGAACACCACATAGACCCGACTTCGATCACTCGACATGATTTCATCGAGACTAACGGAGACAATTTTATGGTGACCATTCCGTTTTTGGCTAGGATGGTTTGGGATTTTTTGACGTTGCCTGCTGATGGTGTCGAGAAGAAGTTCACGTGGAATTGTTACGTGTTTCTGTTGGCCATTTTTGTGGCAATGACTAATCAGGTAGGGGGAAGGAGTTTTAAAAAAAAACTTGGACTGTCTTGTTTGTATAATAATATTAATAATGCACTAAATAAAGAAATAGACACTTTTATTTATTATTTAATAATATACGTTTTAACATCATTTAATTAATTATCTAAACCTAAGTTTAACGTGATTTTTTTAGTGTTTGTAAATGTTGTCTAATCCAATTTAAAGCCCATTCATTTATCGATTCGAATTAAATTCATGAAATTCTGCAGGTCAGGTCACACCATTCGGTGTGTGTGCGGTTTTATATCAGTTTTCCGATATAATGTTTTATAAAATGATAGGGTACCATGTTAAACACGCACAGTTAGAGCAACTTACTCAATAAATCTGATAACACAGGGCGACAAAAAAAAAATCATGTCGTGACAACTTGACAAATTTTATATCATTTTGTTCGTCTCAGTGAGACAAATCAAATGCACTAAAAAAAAATTAAAAAGTCCACACATTTTGAACTATATAATTTTTTTCTAATTTAAATGAATAAATGAATTTAAAATACTTTAACTTTAAAAAATCATTACTCTATAACTATTAGGCCGATTTCCTTCAAATAAAGACCATTCTAAAGGGATGGCCTTGCCCTTTAGAATGATATAAAATTTGAATTTGAATATTGGTAAACTTTTCTTCGAACAGTATTCGAAGAAGTAATATAAGAAAAACCCTACGAGTAATTTTTTCTTCATCATTACCATCGAGTAGAGCATCTCTTTATTAGTTGTTATCCAAATTTTTAAAAAAATATACCGAGTGGTTTTCAAGATATGATTTTTTGAAGTTAAGGTTTGCTAATCAAGCATTGCGCCAAATAGGAGAAATGCATGTTAATATTACTTAAAATTGCATTTTTATAAAAGTATTTGTTTTAAGACTCTTCTTTTGCTTAAAAATAGTCAATTGCACCTTCTTTGTTCTAATTAGAATAAACAAAAACTGTTTGTTTACTTAAAACAAATAAATAGTACCTGCGTACTAATTAAAGCAAATAAAGAGTGGTTTGTTGTAAAAATGACCACTGAATATTCAGCAAAGAGAATCTAGAAGTTTAAGGCACGAGCCTTAAATATAAGGGCAAATCTTTTTCAAATCAAATCACTTTTCGTTCAGATTTTGACTTGTTCATTTTGTTCTAGATTTCTGAACTTTTTTTGAAAATGTTCTAAGCAAATGTTTTCTCATCACTCATTGACCATTTTTAAGCAAAAGAAGAGTCTTAAAACAAATACTTCTATGAAAATGGAATTTTAAGTAAGATTAACATGCGTTTCTCCTATATGGCGTAATACCTGAAAAGCAATCCTTAACTTCAAAAAATCATAAGTATCTTAAAAACTACTTGGTATATTATTTTAAAAAAATGGATTTTTACTAATAAAAAGTTGCTCTACGCGATGGTGATGAAGAAAAAAAAATACTTGTAGGGTTTTTATTGATTACTTCGATTTACTTCGAATTTCTGAACACTGCTCAAAAAAAAGTTTGCCAATATTCAATTTTAAATTGCATTCATTCATTCTAAAGGGCAAGTCCATCCCTTTAGAATGGTCTTTATTCGAAGGAAATTGACCTAATTGTTATTGAGTAATGATTTTTAAAGTTAAAGTATTTTAAATTTATTTAAATTTAAAAAATATATATATTTACTTCAAAGTGTGTGGACTTTTTTAGTGCATTTGAAAATGATATAAAATTTGTCATGTTGTCACATGACTTTTTTTGTCGCTTTATGTAAAAGCCGTCGCGGAATTCATTTGCTGATTGGCTATAACAGGTCTGAATTTCCTGAACCAAAATTCAGTCGAGCCAATTTCCAGATACACAAGTGGTCGCACACCTACTTCGGCCTCCCCGCTTGGGTGGTATGGCTGCAAGAGCACCACGTTATCCTTCCCCGACGCCACCACCGCATCCACCACGTGGCCCCTCACGAAACTTACTTCTGCATCACCACCGGCTGGCTCAATTGGCCGTTGGAAAAGTTGCGTTTTTGGAGCATTTTGGAGATTCTTATTGAGCAAACGACAGGATGTAAACCTCGAGCCGATGACATGAAGTGGGCGCAAAAGGGCACGTGATATTTTACAATCTCAGGTCACACGAACTTTTTTTGTGTTTGGTTATGAATGAATTTGTTTTGTTGTGATTAAGTTAGTGTAGGTGGAGCAAAAACACTACGTGTCTGTGTAATAATTGCCAAAAGTTAATTTAGTTTATTAGGTAGGGTACGTAATTAGATAATATTTTGTACAGATTTGGTGATAAGTGAACATCACGTTTTGTTCGATTTAATAAAAAATACTTTGAAACAAGTGCCTGATTTTATGATTGGACAACGAATATAATGTGATTACATTTATTATTACACAAATATGTTTTTATTAGTTTGTCTCGTAACTAAAGTTAATCATTAGGGACCATGCAATGGGCCTTGGGCCAATTTTTTAAATGTATAGTTCTTACAGTTTAGCTTATAATTAGCTTTAATTGTTGCTAATTATTAATTTATTTGATCAATTCTATAGGTTTATTAAAGCATAAAGCTAGTCTTAAACACTCCATACCAGGGATAATCTACATGCACTACCAAAATATTTATAGTACCTAATTTAGGTGTAATATAGAACACGCTAAACACCCGGTAGGGTAATAATTGTACAACTTATCTTATGACTAGATTAAAAGTTATGACTTTTCACGATTCATTAACTACTTATATCTAGTTGTATTCTTTTGTTTTTTGTTTCCAGTTATTTATTTACTTAAGGCTTATAATTAGCTGGCTCTGCGTTTTATTCTATTGGATAAGCAGTCGTAATATAAGTCATCGAACTAGTGAACATATGCTAGAAATTACCCTAGAAAATGGTAGTTCTTCATCAATACAGAGGTTACCATATATTATGTTCTGTGATAAAAAAAATGCAATAAAACGCAGTTATTTTTATAATTTCTGAACAAAAGTGCAACAGAAATGTCTTGTAATGAAAATTCACAAGATTGGTATTTTATAATATTTTGAATTGATGAAATTATTTTATATAATAAAGTTGCTTGCATTTTATATTGTTTAATTTTTAATTTGGTTGTCTTTACTTATCACTATTCAGTCCCGTGCAAAATACAAAGTGATCCACAATGACTGAATATGTTGGCAATCCTGGCTCTAATTTTTAAAGCTTACCATTAGCACAAATTATCTGGTTCAGGTGGAACCAGATAATCTGTGCTTTTGATAATCATGCTTTTGATTAAGAACAATTCAACAATCTTGTGGGGTTGTGTACGTCAAGTAGGTATTTGTCAAGGAAAACCGTATCCGGTTGCAGTGTTTCAAATTATTAACAAAAATACTTTTTCTATTTCGGTGTTAGAATAAGTCTATTCCAGCACCCAAATGACGTCATTTGCGTGCTGGAATAAGTCGTTCGCGGTAATTTAATTTTAGTGACGGACTTTCTTCACAATTCATTTTCATATGTGAAAATATGAATTATTTTTATTTTTTACAGCCGCCTAAAATTATTCCACACATAAATGTCGCCAACAGTCGCAAAATTCTCTAGAAAAAAAAATAATTTTCGTTTTTTAATATATAAAATGATATAAAGCGGCGAAATAGAAAAAATAGTATAAAGCACTTGTTGCAGAAGGTTCTTTAAGCACTCATTTGTTCCTCAACTCGCCGCTTCGCGGCTCGTTTCGGAATTTCAAATTTGTGCTTGAATAGATACCTTCTACAACTTGTACTTTAATATACTATTCAAATCTGTTGCCAACAGACTCAGTCTTTCTGGATCACTTCGTATTTTGGTCGTCACTCGTCAGTGTCACTAAAAAATTATTCTTTTATGTTTGTGATTGTCTCAAAAAGTCAAAAATATTTTAAACGTCGACTGGCTTTTTATTATTGTTGACATTATGTCACGAATTTGAAATTATACAAAAATAAGACGACCAAAATATATTTAATATAAGCACACGACTGTGCTTATGATATGCAACTAGCAATACACAAACGTGAAAATATCTTATGAACAAAATAATTTAGCTTGTTGAAAATTTGGTTTGATGCACTTTCGGTTGATTCACTTATTCAGTACTTTTTTTGACATTTGACGTTCTGTGCATTTGACATCTAAATAGTCTGGAAAATTCTCCGTCGTGTGGTGTTTATATATTTCATTAATTAGCTAATTATTGAAGAATGAATGACGAAGAATTCGATGGGGATGATGTCGGGGATGACTTCGACGACGACGTCGATGACGACAACATCGAGGAGCTCGAACAACCCGAGGAGGAAGGTGACAACATCGACATTCTCGCACATGGTCAAGCCGGGGGCGGCGTACCCAAAAATAAGCGCATAACAACCAAATACATGACTAAATACGAAAGGGCCCGAGTATTGGGAACACGAGCCTTGCAAATCGCCATGTGTGCCCCAGTCATGGTGGAACTAGATGGAGAAACAGACCCCCTCCAGATTGCAATGAAAGAACTCAAACAACGAAAAATTCCCATCATAATTCGGCGGTACTTGCCCGACCATTCATACGAGGATTGGGGGATAGATGAACTTATCATAATTGACCACTAAATCAAGTAAAACTCTGTAATCTTAAGGTATTTTATTAATAAAACATAACTACACGCTAGAGTTTTATTCAAGCAAAGATCATCTCGTCGCGTCGACGCTTGGGCTGATTACCAGGTCTAATTTGGCATTCTGGATGGTTCATTAATTCAGGAGGACAAGTTGAGACAGGTGATGATAGCAACATTTGCTTCAAATCATAGAATAGAGCTGAATCATCGTTGGTACAAAAGCTGATAGCGACCCCGCTTTTTCCCGCACGTCCAGTTCGACCAATACGATGGGTATAATCTGGAAAACAACATTAAATGAATATACAATAAGAAATACGCAATAATTACCTTCAATAGTCTTGGCCATGTCATAATTGATAACAACGGAAACATCCTTGATATCAATTCCTCTCCCAGCCACGTCAGTGGCCACCAAAATGTCCTTAGCCCCCGATTTGAGACTCGCAAGCGCGTACTCTCTCTGCTCCTGGCCTTTGCCCCCATGAAGCGTACACGCATTGTACCCCAACTTCTCCAAACCTTTGGCCAAAACATCGGCCCCCTTCTTCTGATTGACGAAGATAATGATCGGGGGGTCCACCCCCTTGGACAAGTATTCCATCAACTTCTTTCTCTTGTCGTTTTCAGTCATAATATGGACAATTTGTTCCACACGTTCTGTGGGTTTACCAATTGAACCGATGTAAACTACAGCTGGACGTCTCAAATAAGTCCTCGCTAGTCGCTCAACAGCCGGGGGCATAGTCGCCGTAAACATCACTGTTTGGCGGTACTTCTTCTTGCTGTTATAGTTCGCCAAAATGATTTTACTATCCTCGGCTTCTTCTGAATCCGGTTTTAGGTTTGTGACAGGCATATATTCCAGGATTTTTTGCACATCTGCTTCGAACCCTAAATCAATCATTCTGTCGGCTTCGTCCATGACAATGTAGGTACACTGGTTTAGGACCAAATAGCGATTTTCTAAAACATCGATTAGACGCCCTGGAGTTGCAATAACAATTTCGCACCCCATTCTCAATCTAAACCCTTGCTCCTCTCTACTCAACCCTCCCACAACTACCACAGTACGAATCCCCAATGGTTGGCCGAATTTGACCGTTTCTTCTTCGATTTGTTGGGCCAATTCACGAGTGGGGGCCAAGATTATAGCATAGGGGCCCTGATCGGCGTCTTCGGTGCGTTCAATTTTCGGTAGGGATTGAATCCAAGATAAAAGAGGGATCAAGAATGCGAGAGTTTTACCAGAACCGGTTTCTGCAACCCCGATAATGTCCCGATTTTGCATTCCTATAGGAATTGCCTGTCTCTGGATTGGTGTTGGTTCTTTATAGCCAACTTTATCGATGATTTCCAGAAGCTCTTTTTGGATTCCGGATTCTTTCCATGACCGGATTGGTTCCGGGATTTTCCCCCCTTTAATTGTGATGTTGTAGTCTTCTCTGAAAATCCTCCAATCCCTTTCAGTCATTTCTGAAACTTCCTTCTCCGACCAGTGTCGATCGTCCCACAATTGTTTCTCCTCCTTCCTCCTTACTTTCTTCAACCTAACTTTCTCCTGTGCCTTTTCAGCTTCAGTCCTGCGTTTCTCCAATAATTCCCCGTAGAATTTGCTTTGATCGCGTTTTTGGGCCTTAATATCGATTCCGGCGAGGTTTCCTCGACCGAAAAATTGCACCTGATGTCGCTCCTTATACAAAGGATTGTAATCCTGAGAAGTGTCCTCTCCGGCGTCCCAATCAAAAACAAATTTCCGATCATTTAATCTCCTTACACGTCTCTTCTTTTTCACTAAACCCAAATAGCGTTCTTTGATCGCGTCAGATTCCTTCTCCCTATCTTTATCTTTTTGTTTATCTTCATCTTTCTCCCGATCACGGGGACGTCTGAACTCCCTATCATCCTTTCTTTGTTCCTCCTGTCTTGAAGCTTGTACACTTTCAATTATCTTGCGTTCGGCCTCTTGTTGCTTTTTCAACCTATCGACTTCCTCTTGGCGCCGTTTTAACGCCTCTGCCGCCCGCTGTTCTTTAGTCAAAAAAACAGGTTTGCTCTTAGCAGCTTCTTCTGCTTTTTTCTTAGCTAGTAACTCTTCCAATGACAATGGTTCTTTCTTCGGTGGAGGTTCTTGTTTCATCTCAGATTTAGATTCAGGTTTCGTTTCTGTATCAGGTGTAGGTGTTCGTTTTCGCGAGTCTTTCGCTTTCTTGTCTTTATCATCTTTCCTGTCGTCTCTTTTGTCACGATCGGGCTTACCGTATCTATCATATTTGCTGCTAGAACTTTCGTACTTGTCCCGGGATCGTGATCTGTAGCGTTTATGGGGACGCTCTTTGCTTCGGGATCGGGAACGGCGTCTCTTATCGCGGTCTTTATCCAAACGGTCTCTACTCCGGGATCGGCGCTTTTTGTCGTTCACCATTGATATCTTTTATGCAACGATTTTATAAAATACAATCTAAGATAAAACGTATATAAAACGTAGGTTAGGTTGACGTCTGTTGACGTTATGAAAGTCAGCCAAATACTGTGAAAAACATTTTGTGGTAATACCTGCAAGCGCTAAGCATTAAAAAATAAATAAATCTGACAATAAAACATTTATTATTTTTCTTTAATTTACGTCATAAAATTATTACACATTTTTTTGTAACAATTAATTATTGATAATTACATATAAAGTAATTTTTATTCTAATATGCAGACGAATTCTTGAAAGTGCCAATCAGCTGATAAGTAGACGTGTCTACTCAAAAATGTCAAAATAAACACTTGATTAATAAATAACAAGAAAATGTCTTTAGATAAGTCTAAATTTGAATCGATGCAAAAAAGCATACAGGATGAACTTAAAAAAATCAAAGAAGAAGAGGTAAGGTCAGAAAACTATTAATAAGTATTACACAAAACGTTACAGGAAGCCCTCTTCCAAGACATGAACAATATGTTAAACCAAAAACTATTCCTTGATAGCAAAATCAAAGGTCTTACTAAACTAGTACCCATTCTGAAAGTTGTAAAACACGAAGCTCAAGATCTTGTAAATACAATAAATGACATTTCTGAGTCATCTGAAAAAATAAGTGGCAAAATCAGATCACTTGATACAGCTAGAGTATGTTTAGAAGCTTTTTGTTGATACTTTTTCTTATTGTAGTTTTTAGAGCCGCGTGAATGAGTGTCAGCAACGAGTTAGTGACCTTATTGACTTAGAAATATGCTCCCAAGGGGTCCAAACTGCAATTCTAGACTCAGACTATGAGAAAGGGGCAGCTCACGTTCATAGATTTCTCTCAATTGACCAGTCTCTGCTCCAGAGAACTGCAACCGACGTCGAGAATGTCTCAGGAATGCTGAAATCTGTGAGGACTTTGCAGGACGCTGCAAGCCAGTTGCAGGCTATCGTTGAGCATAAATTTGATGAATCGGTCAAGTGTGAGGATTTAGTCTCGATTGAAAGGTTCTTTAAAATATTTCCTTTGCTGGGAATGCATGAGGAAGGGATTAAGGCACTCTGTACCTACCTCAGAACCAAAGTAAATTTCACACCTACCCTTGTTTGTTTTGAACTAGTTTTTTTAGGTTGCAGCAACGGCTGAAAAAAATCTGAAATCAGCAATGACTACGCCTCAGTCTGACAAACGCTATAGTGTTATATATGCAGACACTTTGACTCTATTATTTGAGGGATTGGCACGTGTTGTTGACACGCACCAACCGTTGATTGAAACGTATTATGGCCCAGGAAGACTTCTTTGTGCCGTTAGCATTTTGCAAAAAGAGTGCGATATTCAAATGAAAAGAGTCTTAACTGAGTGGACTAGGGCACGTCAAATTAATAAGAAAATTCAGCTAATTACTGAATTGTCTAGAATGAGCACAAGTTCTAGTTTTGGTAAACTGGAAAAGATTGATCCCAAAGATTTAGATATTTCCATTGGAGAGATAACTTTGATGCACTTTAGGACCGAGCTTTATATCAGGTTTATACAACGCAAAGTTGTGGTAAGTACTGATCATCGTGAATTTTCATTCATTTTTAACTACATTTTAGTCAGACTTAGAAGTCGGAGTCCAGGACGAAGGAGAAAAAACAAAAGTACTAAAATCGTTAGAAAATTTAATCAAAAACAGCGACTTGACACACTCGAAGCACGAATTACTGTTACATTATTTGAAACTTGAGCAGTATTTTATGGAAGAATCGGTCGCAAAAGCTGTCAGTATGGACAGTATTGAACCTTCCCAACAAACGTCAAGTATGGTCGATGACACGTTTTTCATAGTCAAAAAGTGCATACGGTATACCCCATTTCAAAATCATTTTATTTCCTTTGACAACTATGATTCATAGACGTTCAATCTCAACCGGAAGTTTGGATGGGATTTGTGCCATTATAAACAACGCTTGTAGAATACTTGAAAATGATTTTTGCGATGTGTTAAGGGCGCGTTTGCGACAGGGCTACCCTTCCGGTTATTTAGATTTGACTCAGGCTTACAATGTGTTGCAGAGTTCGATTCAACAGGGCCGGCTTCAGTCGAATGATACTGAGCAAACAAGAACTGCGTTTATCGTGGCTTTAAACAACGCTGATAGTAGCACAGAATACGTTGATGCGTTGTGTGATAGCGTTTTGAAAGAAATAGAACAAGCCCTTCCTATGATGAATAGTAACGAACGGGGAAAACTCGAGAGTTGTCTCTCTGGATTGTCTTCAGTGACGACTAACCTTAAGGAAATTATTGAATATGGTATTCAACAGTTGCGCGTCAGCGCAATTAAACCACGTATCAGTCCTTGGGTCGACAATTTCACTAGTATAAACCACCAATTATCTGAGGTATTAAGACCTATTTGTTTAAATTGGGTGAGTTATTGTGTGATTTAGGACGAACTGTCGGTGTACGAAGCGGGAGAATCATTCGTTCAAACGCTTATTATGAACCTTGAAACACTTTTGTCACTGTTTAAAGATGTTTTGACAACGGCGAATTACGATGCTTTTATTTCGGTTTTAACGACGGAAGTTACCCAAAGATTGGAGAAAGTCATTATGAAATCGACGTTTAATAGGGTAATGATGCAATCAATGGTTACCATTTTTCCATGGGATTTTTCAGTTGGGAGGTTTGGTGTTGGATAAAGAGGTGAGGTCATTGGCGGGTTATATAACAGCGACGACTTCGTGGTCTGTGAGAGACAAATTCGCGCGTTTGACTCAAATCGCCACTATTCTAAACCTGGAACAAATGTCTGAATTTTACGATTATTGGGGCGACCACGATGGAGCACTTACTTGGCGTTTGACGCCATCTGACGTCCGGACTGTGATGGCGCTAAGGTCAGATTTTAAGGTCGAAGATATAAAAAGACTCAAACTGTGATTGTTGGTAATAAAACTTCACTTTTAATTGGTGTTATTTCTTTATGTATTTACACAACCTTTTGACAATAATATACATTGCATAAATTGTGCTCGACTTAACGAATCTATGTTATTTTAACCGGGACGGAGAGTCTGTTTCACATCGTTCTTTGAGGCATCACGAGATGTAACGGAGGAAAAAAAACACCAAATTTCGATTTTCACTAATACAAGTTGATTTGCATTGAAGCATCTTTTATCACAGAACATCGTCAATCAATTAAGAATAGTTTTACAAAAAAATCATGAAGCTATCGTTACACATTAAAAAAGACAGTCTCGTAAACCTATCAAGGCCACTTTCCAATTAAAAAAGTCCAACGCACGATAAATAAATATACACAAAATTATTGTTCATTCTAGTTGTTCATAACAGAAGGCAACCTAACGGTTTGATTTCTTATAAGCGTATTAACTACTACTTAAACATTACTTAACGTTACATTCTTAGTTTACATAGTTATATAAAAGACAAAAAAGCATTTTTGGTTTTGACTTTGATACATATGTTATATAGGCAAAAAATAAATAAATAGATCAGTTGGATTAATTAAAAAGGAAGAAATAATTTACGTACACTTCACTACTTGTGGATTCTTCTAGTATAAATAACGGAACTTGTCCATTCGGCAGAGAGAGAGAAACTTAAAGCAGATTAAAATTACGTTTCTTGTTGACTATCCAACTCATAAAAATGGATTGTTGGAATTCGCATTAGCTGTAGCACCAACCTGAGAAACCAAAACAAAACAAATTTTTACAAAATATTCTTTTAAATTTTTCTTGGGAGTGACCGAAAATGATAACTTTTTTTACAAATTTCGTTTTCCAGTTTTACATCTAAAATTTTTGAAAAACTAAAAATGTGTGGTTAACAACGAGCTAATAAATTCAATCACATTATAAAATTCAAAATGTCTCTTGCATAAATTTTCAATGACTGGCATTGAGACATTGAAAAGTGCGTAAAAAAATATACGAAATTTGTCTGAAATTTCAAAATTTAAGACTACAGTTTTCTTTGTATGTTTACACATTCTTTAATTAAAATTAATAAAATTCTTGTCAATATATTAAAGTTACCAACCCTCCGATTTCCCCTTTTTGTGGGAAATAAATACCTTGAACGGGTTTGCTCCCCACGCGGCTCCATTGGCGGCTACCGGAAACATCGACTGGAAGTTCTGCGCAAAACCGTTCACCCTCACCGGCTCGCGGAAGGGATTGGCGAGATTCTGTCCGAAATTACCATTACTCCCCCAATTCATCCCATTGAAGGGATTCGAGAACGTATCCTGATTCTGGAACGCATTCATATACTGACCTGGAACGGAAAAAATTAGTCAGGGGCGGCGAAAATTCAAATTGAAACCTTGACTAGGCGAGCCAAACATGGAACTCTGCGGGGACGGCGAGCTGTACATGGAGCCGGTAGGCGTCGGCGAGCTGTACAACGACCCGTTCGAGCCTGACGAATTCCAGTCCACTGCGTTTTGCGTTTTTAGAGCGTTGTCCAGGTCTTTGAGGGCGGCGTACTTGTCTTCGGGTGGGGCTGCAGGTACTTTGTTTGATTGTGCTAAATTAAAATTGTCGAAAGCCGGCGTCGGCATACCTAAATAAAAAAAATGCGTCAGAGAAGTGTTGGTAAACGATTGCATCGGAAGCGTAAATAAAAAAACAAGTGCTGGTACTACACTAAAAACGGATAAAAATCAATAAAACCAACTGCGAGAAAGTAAATGCCGAGTCACACTAAACACTTACTCCATCGGTTTGTACTGCACTTGGGAAAGAGAGGCACTTGGTTTAAGACTGGACCGGAATTCGTGAATTTCAAATCAAATATACTGAACTGATCCGCTGGAAGGAAAAGCATTCCAGTGTTACACACAAGAGAAACAAATATTCAAATAAATACATAGAAAGCGAGGAGTTTAGCGTGGCCGGAGTGGTTGACGGGCCAACATCGACACGAAAATAGGTAACAACAAAACACATCCAAATTGTTTGTTTCGGTAGTGTTAGAACATACGACTTTTTATTCTACAACACTCTTAATTGAAACAATTAGCTAACAAGTAATTCAACAGCAAGCGTAAAATTTTATGTGCTTGCAAAGGTAGAACGATTACGTTTTCTTCTCTAATACGATTTTTGGACATTTGAATAAACCAACATGAAAGTTTACTTCCAATCTATTTTTATAAAAAATTTGCTCAAAAATTTAAAATAAACAATATTTTTTTTATTATTTATTACAATACAAAAAAAATGCATCAAAATTTATAAAGAAAGAATAGTCCACATTTGTTTTCCATAATTTTTACCAAGGCAAAGGCGAAGAAGCAAGCTCGATTAATCAGAATTACTTCTTTATTTCTCCGTTTATCTGATATTTTAACTTCGAAACTTTAAGTTTAAATAATAAAAATTTAGTTTAGTAAACTAACTTGTAACTTGTAAAATTTACTATAAAGTGGTCTTTTCGGTTTTTTGTATCTCAAATAGTTTTAAAGATATTAGCTAGCAAATATCGCACTCTGTAAAAAAACTATTAATGAATTAACGTAATAATTTTTGCAAAAGTTGTAAGTGTTCTGATTGGGCAGTTTAAGGACGACCATTATAAAAATGTAAAAAACCAATCACTTTAGATTTTTGTATTCATTCAAAAACTGAATGCACCTTAGATATTAGATTAATTCATAAAATGTAGCGAAATTGGTTAATTCAGATTTGCATTCATTCAAAAATCTTGAGAAATCGAATCAATATTTCAAGGTTTTTATTTCATTAATAGAGTAAGCAATGAAGCGGTAATTTTATTGGAAAGAGCAAGCCCGTAAATTTTTTCTTAATTTTCATAATATTAGACAATGCTTGTTATTTATGCTTATTTTAAAACAACTTTTTTTTTTAAACAAGTAAAAATAATAATCCTTTCATGTTACTTTTTTTTATTTTAAAGATCAAAATTCAATTTCAATACCCATCACTACTCCCAACCATTGATGATATTTACACTGAATCAAAATCTGAAAATTCCATTGTAACGACTTAGATACGTACCCAAAATTTAGTTGTATTTTTTTGACAACGAATAAGAATTATGTATTTACCTTGTTATTTTTTAATTTAAAGTAAAATACAAGTCGAAATGACGTACGTCGATCTAATCAGGTCACGAAACCTTTAGAAATTCATTTCAAAGCCCGACAAATAATTTTAATATTTCGTTGAATGAAACTCATTACGTCCAAAGTGGTGTTATTTTAGTCACAAACACGCGTAAAATAATTTGGCTTAGTAAACAAATCTAGAAGCTCGATTTATTACTTCAATAGAAAACCATATTTTCATTTCTTATCACACCAAATGACTAAGTTTTTTTCGTGTATTGTAATTATTTACTCAGGTACTCAGTATCTTAACCTTGTGGTGATAAAAACTCCGCCCAAAATAAACTACAGCTTGATTTTTTCCTTTTATTTTCTCTTTCCATTCATTAAAGCTCCAGATGCGTGGTAATTTTAACTTTACACATTTAAACCAACACATTGTCGGGTCGCCCATACTCACTTGCATTGTTCAAATTGCTGTTAAAAACTGGATTATCGTCGAAATTCGCAAAAGTCTCTTGCGTCGTCGTTGTGTTATTATTGTTGGAAGCAAATATATCTGCATTGTCGAAATCCACAGCAAACGAATGGTTCTTCCCAGGCTCTGGCCTTTTTCTATTAAATTCCGTCGTGTTTCCGTTCAATTTGATCGGTTTTGGGTCAGATACGAGCGTCGTCAGCGGTTTCACTTTTTCCGTTTTCGTGTATCCGTTCTTGAGGGCTTGTGTCGGGTCCATGTAATACCTCTTCCGTTCGTATTTATCGACCATGAAGTCCTTGACGGTTTGTTCATCCCTGCACTCGGCCCCCGGTAAATTCCCATCGTACAGCCCCAACCAAACACTCTTGCAATAATCGTTGCCTCGATTTTTCAACATTTCGATTTCTTCCGACGTGAATGTGGCCATCGAGATCGACTTGACGCGATGTGGCGGCGTCAAACCGCGTCTGTAAAAATAAAACCAATGATAAAAGTTCAAACGATAAAACGATACCGTGAAAAGTATTTTTCAGCGGAGAGTTCAAGGGATTCCTATCTGGCGAGGGGCCAATAAATACGAGTTATTTATTCGATATGAGCGCAGGCGAATTTTAGACGACGATTTGTAATTGCTGATTGTTGGGTTACCTTTTCGGGCATTGGCGGTGAGTTGAAAGAGGCTAGCAGAAACGAAAAAATTGAATGGTTGCTAAATAAGTTTAGTGAGACGACGACGGAATTATTTATCGGGTAGAAGCGACCTCCGGTCCGTGATTACCACATTGAAAAAATCGAAGCAGAGAAATCGTAATAAAACTTATTTTTTCTGCACAAAATTGAAATTTACGAGTACTATTGGCTTAGGAACGATTTGTTTACAGTAAATAATGATTTGTATACCCTGAAATAGATAATAAAAATAATTACACATTAAAAATATAATTTTAAATGCTTGTTTTGACTATTGCAAAACATTTATTTTAAATTAGAAACTAATTGAACCTTTGACCTGGTTACAAATTCTTGAGAAAATGCAAATAATCACCCAAAACAAACACCGACGTCGCAATAAATAATTTTTATTATAACTCAATCTGATCGCGGCAAAAATTCAACCACTTTCTTTAGCTAAATGCCAATTACGTAACCGCATTGATCTCTCGCCTCTCCCAAATTCCTTGCAAATGCGAAAATCCACCGAAGCGTATAAATCAGAATCAGCTTTTATCACAGACAGGAACCTCCGGGACTTCGTCTCGTGGTGATAAGACAGCGCAGCGCCTCCGAACGCTCCGTAATCAGCATTTCTGACATTGACCGCTTCCTGGAGCTCGGCAAGGTCGCGAAACCGGCCTCTTGACCGATGCAAAACCAGGTAATACCTGA